ATTGACAACAATTGTAATTTAATTTAATTAAAACTAGATGGATTCAAAATTTCCAGATTTTTTTTTTTAGTTTTTAGTTTCAAAAATTATTTCAACTCACACAAAACTTATAACAATTTTGTATACATTTAAAATCATATTTAAAAAATGAAATTATAATATAATAACTCAGACTTCCTTATGTGCAAATCTCTAACCAAGTTCAACAGCACAAAACCTTCGTAAATATTTTCCCGCAGCAAAGAAGATGAAAAACTAAAATAATAAAGCACACCCACCGTGGGAAGTTTTTTTTAATGTATTCATGAGATTTGCAGATGACAACAATCAGATAGCCCCTTAACATTTAATTTTCCTCAGTTCAGGAAGAACATCAAAGCCCGCCACGTTTCTCTCTCCCATCGACACGCACTCGCCCACTGCACCTGATTTGCATTTTCTCACCGAGTCGTCCCTCGGAACAAAACAAAACATAAAACCGAGTGCATTTTGCGCGCACGAGTGGCAGCACCATTTTTTTGTAAAGCCTTTTCGCGAGAGAGCATAATCAGCATGTGTAATTAGCCAAGGGAGTACACATTTGTGAAGCAAATACCACGCGCACATGTGCCTGCCAAGAAAAGACATGCTCGCGGAGACCTTGGACACTTCCCTTTTTCCCCTCGAAACAGAATCATCTCGTGCAGAGATTAAAGTAATCGCTCATTTGCAAATGCGAGCGACGAATCCGCCGAGAGACGAACAAGTGCGCCGACATGTACATGTGCATCCTACATCAAGCGAGAAGTGCAGCAGGTTTCTTGCTCGTGCACGCTCCTTATCGAGCTCGTTCATTCAAGTCTTTTCTTCTTAACCACCCAGAACGGATCAAATGTTGTGGAGAGAAGCGCTTAAATAAGGCAGAACATTCGGAATTATTTTAAATTTTATACACTAAACATTTGTATTTTATTATTACTTATTACATTATTATTTTTCTTCGATCAGCTATTATTTACTATAATTTTAATAATTTTTATTTTCTTATTATGCCTAGCATAATTCTGAGCTTGGGCAACGTTTTCAAGTCTTGTTAAATATTTGTTCCCCACATGTGAATTACAGGCAAATTCTGAGCAGACATAATGAAATTATTTTAATTTTAAATACCAGCAACTTTAGATGGGTCGATTACAAGTATTTTCAAATTTTTAATATCGTGACGATTAGTAATTTACTTTCATTATATAAATAATAAATATATTTTAAAATTCTTTAAAAAAAATTTAATTTAACAAATGCAAAAAATTAATATAGCAAACCTAAACTCCATTTATTAGGCTCAATATAATTTTATAAATTTTTAAAACTAAAAAGATCTAAATTATAAGCTGTATAATTAAAATAAAAATGGTTTAAAATTTTTATGTTTATAAATAATAAGTAACATTAATTTTTTGATGACAAACACAAGTAAAAAGAAGAAAAAAAATTTCATTATTTATTATAGACTTGATTCTCTATGACTGAAAATTAATTTGCCTTTATTTGAGGAAAATATTTCAGAACAGTCATTAACGTCGTCTCAAATCACTTAGTGATATACTTCACTGTGATCTGTCGCAAGAACTGTATCAATGACGACGTACATACAACGTTACGGAATAGTCAAGGAGAAAAACATGCGCACGTTGGGTAGCTCGTTGTGTGTCGCAGCCGCGTGTTCGTGTGGGTGCTCCAATCCTGTACGTGAGTTGTCGCGGCATTTTTTCACGAGATTTATATTATTGAGGAAGATCTCTGTTAGGCAAGCGCAAGGTTCATGATGTAATGAGCCGGGGGTTACGTCACGTCCAAGGTTGTGTGTGCTCGCGAGCGAATATACCTGGCCATGCCTGCTAACCTGCGCCAATTGCCCATCTTCCTCTCGATGAATTTGCCATTTTCGGCCCGAGCGATTTCCTCGGATTATAAGTGCAAGGACTTCCCTTGCGCGCTTGTTTGCTCCGGCATAATATGTACAAACGAAGTCTCTTTAACGTGCATTTTTCCATCGACCATCGTGACAGACCTGAAGGTTTGTTTGTTCTTTTTACCATGTTTGTGAGCGAGGTGTGGAGAGGTTGATACGATTTTCATAATAGCACATTTTTCCGACCGGACGACAGGAGATGCCGCAGAGTGGAACGAAGATCGCGTGTTTTTGTTTGATAGCTGGACGTGTGGAGGTTAAAGTGAGAGATGGAGGAATAAGATGTTTGATTTAAATTACTTTACTGCACATCTTATTGCAAATTAAAAAAATAAACTTCCTTCTTCCTGATTTCTGAGAACAATAATTATGCATCTTTTTCACAAATGAACATATCATATTTTTTACTTTTTAAATGTAAAATATACTTCAAAGAAGATTTATTTCTGCACGTTAAAAGCTCGGTAATTTTTCTTTGAAATAACGGATTGAAAAATTATCAGCGAACAAGGGGATTCCTTTAAAAACTGCATCAATTAGAGAGGAATGTTCCAAGTCATGAGAGAGACCAGATGCATCTTTCGATCGCGCTCGTCAATTATGCAAATGTCGTGCGTTGTAAGCTGCATGCAGACGTGTCTGTGCGATCCACACTATGCACGCGAAAGTGTTCTCCGAAAAAAATCATTCTTCGCGTGCAAGTTCACGGAGATGCTCTTGCACACTCACCTTGAAAAGTGCAAGAGGAATTAATGTGTTGGCTGATATAAAAAGTTGTTGGCCGTAAATAATAATAATTGCCTATTGTGCGCGAGTGAGAAAATTATCAGAACTCGGTTCAGAGTGGAATGAAGAATGGATTATGCATCCTCACGATAAAATTTTATCAATGCTTTGCGAGAAAATGAATGACGAGGTTTAACATTTTAATGCAAGATTTCGATTTTGCTGTTTTGAGGCAGGTGGCCCACCCGTATAAAATGAAATAAAGTATAATGTACGGTCGTGAACGAGCACTTGTCTTGCTCTCAAGTTCAAGATCAACAACATCGGGCCGAGAGCAAGTTTGAGAAAAAAATCACGCTCGCTTGAATTATTTCCAAGTACGATCAAGTAGTAAAATTATACATTAATTTAATTTTAAATATTATATAATTTTGATAGAAGCACCTGGCAGGAAAAGAGATTTGCCTGTTGAGTTTTCTGAAGATGAGCTGCGTCGTTTCCGCTTTATGGCCTTTCATAATGGTCTGGCGTGAAGAGCCAACTCGGTCCGTGGCGGCTTCGTAGAAGTTGATTCTCAAACATCGCACTATACCAGTGCGGGAACATCAATTATTTCGGGCAATCTTTCGCTTCAGAAAATACACACGCGCTTATCATCAAACAGCATCATCAATCAAAAGTTCATTTTGAAATCCATCAACAAAAACTCGTTTGTTTTCCTGACTAAAACTTGATTTAATTATTGAAAATGAAAAATTTTATTATTTAATTAACGTCAAAAATTCACATGCACTGACAGTTAAATTTATTTAAAACATTTTAGTTCCCTGTAGGTGTCATAAATGGTGCGCATAAATATTATAAACCATGGAAGGGTTGATTAATTATCAGAGCTTAAATGCTCGAAGCTATGAATTCGCCTTTGAAACAATGGGCGTATTAAATCAAGGTTCCTCTGTATTAATTGCCTGAGTATGCAAATCACGCCCGATTTTCTGGACCGATTAGGCTTCATGAAAAATGATCAGCAGCATTCTCGTGCTCGGCGGGCGCTTTTTCGCATCGATTTATATGCGTTGATTTTATTTTCAAGATCATACTCATAATTTCTCCGAGCAGAGCGGAGGTGTGAACATTAAAGGCACTTTTCTCATGGCATTGGCGAAAGAATTAAACAAGTTCACTGATCAAAGCGGCTTGATTACGACCGCAGAAGTTGTCATCTTCAATGTAACTCAAGACTCAGAAATTCCTCGCAGTTATTAGGTGCATGTCTTCTTAAAAACACATTAAGTAAGAGAATTTATTGAGTAAAATTATGGCCACTGTAATATAAAAATTATAAAAAAAATAATAATTTATTTTAAGTAAAAGTATGAAAAATACTTTTTGCTTGATATTTTTTCCTTCTATGGAATATTTAATGGAAATTTCATTTCCCAATCACAAAGGTTGAGTATTATTAAAAGAGGAGAGCTGTCGATCATTATTTTCTCACACTTTACCAGTCCCGCGGCTCTCAAGAAAGGAAAACGACAGCGCTGCAGGAGCCAGTTTTGTTTTCTTCCAAGTACCGTTGTCTGAAAGTCATTTGGTCTTATTGCGTAACACCAGATCGATGATGATCATTACAGTCTCTCGACTCTCCGCCATTGTGTTTAGAGATGAAAAAGATATTGATGCTCTTCGGCCCTGAAATTGTCAATGATCGAAATCGAGAAGCGATTTGGTAGGGCCTTTTGAGCCAAGACAGGTGGCGCATAAAAATCACATACGGCGTGAGTTATTTAGCCTGAAATTTCATAGTTCAAATTTTGTTTTTAATAAAAATTTTTCATTTCCTAACTCAATTTGAACGTAGAAAAATAAAAGTATTGAAAAATTAAATTGTTAAAACTTGATAAAAACACTAGACACTAACCGTGGAATAATAATCAAATTATATCGTTATAAAATTATTTGTAACACTGTGAAAAAATAAACAACAAAAATTATAAATTTTTAAGATTTTTTAATCTTTGCCTGATTTATAAATACATAATCCATAAATAGTTTTTCTATGAAAAGTGAAAAAAATGAAGCTTGAGAACGTAAAAATACATGTAATTAAATTTTGACTTGTTGAGAGGGATTAAACGAAAACCATTAAATACATCAGATCATAAAAACAATTAAAGAAATGGAAATATAATTATCATGTGAATCAACAGAAACCAATATAATACTTTATTTATGTTGCGTTTTTAATATTATAATTGTAATAATAATCAATTGAAATTTAATACAATAATTTTATTTAATGTTTTTTCATTTTGATTTTCAGGGTGGTAGTGACACAACATGGTCGCAACACTCTGGCACCAAAGGTCGGGGCCACCTTTGGTCAGCGCTGCTCGTCTTCATGGTGTGCATCGTGACCCTGGCCGTGTTAGCCGTGGTCGGTTTGGCCCTCGTTCTTGGAGGTACGTACCGAGTGCGCAATGCCGAACTATTGTAATCAATGTATGTAATTACAGCCCGCCGCGTGCAATTGCTCATTAGTCGCACTCTCTCGTCGTTCTTTCAATTAAAATCCTGATTAACGGTCGCGCGCGAAACAATGCAAAGCCGCGTATATATTATGCACACATGATTTGCTTCTGGAAATAACGGTGGTTGCGTCATGAACAATGCAGAAAATATACTCACTAGTGGTCGTACTGGTGCACAAAACTCTCGCTACGAATGCAATCTTGCTCTTGATGCAATTTGTATCGTACCGTACGAATTTACAATTCAGCGCGAGATAATTTAAATTTTGGTGTAATTAATGTGTTTTCTGCTTTTGTTATGCTCGTTGCGTCGGTAAAAGTGCAAGTAAGCACGGCACATTAGCTTTTGCACTAACTTATTGCGCTTTAATTGTCACTCATTTTACATCAGGGAAGCCCGTATCTTACTCCAAAGCGGAAAAAATTATTAGAATATTTATGAAAATAAAGAGATTAAATTGAACATTATTTATTTTGTCTATATAATTAAATATTATTTTAAAAAAAAAGTAAAACACCACAATCTCTATGAAAAAAAATGTTCAAAAATTCGAAATCTAATCCAATCTAATCCTCAAACCATTTTGATGAACATTTTTACAAAATTGAATCTGAACGTAGAGCTGATGTTTTCTTTTTTGAGAGTAAAATAGTTTTAAAAATATTAAATAATTAAGCGTGTTTCGTCTTGCGATTTGCAAAAACGCGATTTGCTTAATTGCTGTCTTATTTAATAACAGGCAGCAAGCGCGCATTGAAACTGCGCTGCTCAAGCTAGCATCAAGTTGCGTATAAGTAGCAACGTTTTCCCCCCACTACATCAATGTCCCTTTGGCGCAGAGGATAGCGCGCTGGACTTCTAATCCAGAGGTCATGGGTTCGATCCCCATAAGGGATGTATTTTTGCAGGTTATCCAAATTTAAAACCATCAATTCCTCTAAATGTATCGTTGCGATTTTGCTAATTCATTGAAATGATTAAAATGTTTAAAATGTAATTTGAACTATTAAAATTTTTTTTTTTTTTCGGTTTTCGCTTCAGGGCACAATGTTACAAAAAAGCCTTCCTCACTGGACACTAGACCTTCAGCAACCTGGGGCGAGGAAGTGGAAGAGCCCATAAAATACCCTGATTTTCCTCAAAGACATTCAATTTTGCAGGTGACATATTGTATATGTAGCGGTCAGCGGTTTCCCGCTGCCCACTACAAATCGTTTAGTCAAGACTAAACCACTCCACCACCCTGTGCTGCACCCTACAGCATTTACCCTGCAGCACTCCCATGCAATGTGAGCCCCACCCAACCACGTTTATTCTCGCGCCCCAAGCCAGCCATGGAGCGCGCGTCTCAATCGCTCACTCAACAAACCTTCGCCTGAACCCAACTTATGGGGTAAGAACCTTTCTGTGCAATTTCCCTCGACGGCAAAATGACCCGCCCAGTGAATAAGTGCATAATCACCGGCCCCGCCAGTGAATTTAACCCAAAACGCCGAACCTAAAACTGTTCGCCGGCTGAGCAATGCCGGCGCCTCCACTCAATTTACCAATACTCAAATAACATGTTTGTAATTCATTGTACTGATTGTATTATGTTTTTACAGTTCGAATTTCAACTTCCGATTCTAATACCAACACATCCTGAATGTACAACACCGCCTTACTACAATATACGAATTAAAAGAATCTTCTGGAGTTTAATTTAATTATTATTCTCCCTTTGTGTTGGCCAACCTGGCCCGTACAAAATGGTGACCCCGAACAAGATACCGAACGCGATGCTTCAACGCAGAATCGCCTTCAACACGATGCTTCAACGCAAAATCGCTTTCAACAAGATGCTTCAACGCAGAATCGCCTTCAACAAATCAAGCCATCGAGTGACAGAACCAACATACACATTCGGCAGACCGCCGAACGACGAGCTTTCGCCATGATGCCGTCACAACACCGCCAACACCAATGCTGTCAGCAGCCACGCCTCCTCACATGCAAGCAACCGTGGCCGCCGCCAAGGCCAAATCTTTGGACAGCAGCTGTCCTTCGAACCTACACTTACCAAGGATCGAACCTCTCCACAGAAGCCGTCAGACAACACTGCACCGCGCTTCCAAAAACTGTCGCTGCACCTACTCACAATTTTGCTCCACACGAGTTTTATGCAGAACTCTCGTCTGAATCAGAGCATACATCAGCGACGCCGACACGAGCCTTCAAACTCGGACCGACACGGCAAGTATGTGACCTGCAACCCACCGCGCAAACGAGACATAGCAGTTTCTCGTCACCTTTGGGGACACACCCTGTCGGACACACCTGAAAGAGCTGATCGGACCAACTACCTTCCAGCACGCCAAGTTCCCCCGGCTGGAATCAACCAACATACAGAACTTCCAAGTTCTCCTGTTTTTGGACTCAGCAAAAGTCCAACGCCTCAAATTCCTCGTTCACTCCAGCCTATACAAGAGTGACCTTCTCGCCAAGAGACAACTTCTCGCCAAGAGACACCTTCTCGCCAAGAGACACCTTCTCGCCCAGAGACACCTCACCAAGAGAAACATACTGAGAGTGACCTCCGGTCTCCAAGTGGGGGCCTATGTAGCGGTCAGCGGTTTCCCGCTGCCCACTACAAATCGTTTAGTCAAGACTAAACCACTCCACCACCCTGTGCTGCACCCTACAGCATTTACCCTGCAGCACTCCCATGCAATGTGAGCCCCACCCAACCACGTTTATTCTCGCGCCCCAAGCCAGCCATGGAGCGCGCGTCTCAATCGCTCACTCAACAAACCTTCGCCTGAACCCAACTTATGGGGTAAGAACCTTTCTGTGCAATTTCCCTCGACGGCAAAATGACCCGCCCAGTGAATAAGTGCATAATCACCGGCCCCGCCAGTGAATTTAACCCAAAACGCCGAACCTAAAACTGTTCGCCGGCTGAGCAATGCCGGCGCCTCCACTCAATTTACCAATACTCAAATAACATGTTTGTAATTCATTGTACTGATTGTATTATGTTTTTACAGTTCGAATTTCAACTTCCGATTCTAATACCAACACATCCTGAATGTACAACACCGCCTTACTACAATATACGAATTAAAAGAATCTTCTGGAGTTTAATTTAATTATTATTCTCCCTTTGTGTTGGCCAACCTGGCCCGTACATATATATTTCTAAATTTATTTAAAAAAAACCCTTATTGTTTGTTAATTTATTTTAAATATTTAACTTAAAAATAAAATTTGTATTCATAGTTGGTATTAAAGAAAATCAAATTTAAAACAAATGTACAGTCATTTCTTTAAATTTCAAACAAGTATGATTTATTGCATGAAATCGTAAAATTTAACTGTGTTTAGATACTTTTCCCTTTGAGCACACTTTGTAATAATCATAATTGATCATAATTGTTTAAAAACTGTTCATTTGTAACAATGATTGTATAAAATAAATTTGTATAAAATATTCAATTTTAATAATTACAAAAATTAAGCATCGATGAAATTTTTTTTTATAATTAAATTTTTTTTAAATACATCACTATAGTGAAATAAAAATTGCAAATTGCCTATTTAATCTTGTACTACCTCAAGTAACTTTATTTATTTAAATTAATACAGTACTTTTCCCAGACTGCCAAACCTCCACCGCCACCTCCGCCGCCACCACCTATGCAACCCTTAACTACTAGCACTGAGGCGCCGCGAACCACCACACAGAGACGTGCGGTGACCACCACGACAGCACAAACCACCTTCCGCACTCCAGTAAAACCACAACTCAGACAAGACAAACTCGCCACCCCACCACCCTACAACGTCCAGGGCGGCGTCGATTTCAGCAGGGTTGAAAAAGACGAGAGCAACGTGGACAGGAGCGAATGGACTCCTATCGTCGAGGAGGAGTTTGTGATGCACCGAGAGCCGATCGGCGAGGCGGCGGTGGTGAGCACCCTTGCAGACGCCATCGACACTCAGAACCTGAACAAATTCCCGTCGAGGTCCTACAGCGGCCTCGGACACATGCGGCCGATGCCCACCCTGTTTCCGTCCAAGAAAAGCAACAACTCTGAGACTGCAGAAATCGCTGCACCCGTCACAACAAGTACCACCACTTCAGCCCCTTTGATAACCAAAGAAGTACCCTCGCCCTTCTTCGTAGCCTCGCTCACCTCCGTGCCACCCCTGGCACCTGAGCAGCCAGACCGACCAAAGATCAGCGCCACTTACAAACAGGAGGACATTTCCGTCACGACGGACAAGTCCTTCCGAGACCAGGCCGCCGTCTTGACCAACACGCACATCAGGATTAAGGAAAGCGATAGGCATTTGAACCAGGACCCTTCGCCAGGGTCACTGAAAATGGGAGGCGCCCTTGCTGAGAGCAGGGGCAACCACGAAGACCAGTACAAACCAGTGGAGCTCATTTCAGCCACTGAAAAAGTCACTCAAGTAAAAAATCCGACCGACGATTCAAGGACCAACGACCGGTTTATCAAGATGACCATCAACAACACCGCCAGCATCCCTGTCTACATCGTGGACACAACGGAAAAGCAGCACGTGACGCCCGAACCTGCCGGTCCGATTTTCACAATCGAGATGACCGACGAAGGCGAAACCACTTTGTCATCGGACGCCACTCCTGAGGAGGAGGAGCCGACTGAGGATTTCACTGAAGAGGCACTCACCACTCTTTTACCTGAAGAGGTGGCTGAGGAAACAAAAGAGCCCGTCTCAGGCACAACCAATGTTGGACCCACCCTGAGCAGTTTGCTCCTGAAGCCGTTGACCGCGAGCCAAAGGACGGCCGAGGTGGACTCGATGAGTCCAATTAAAGCGGGTCTCCTCTTCAGGGAGCCCAAGAGCGGCCCAGCAAGCAGCGGCATCAAAGAGTCGGTCATCCAGGCCTTCCCGAAAAACGAATTCAACAGTGCGCCAGCCTTTCTGAGACGAAACAACACAATCAAGAAGACGACGACCGCAACGACAACCACAACGGTAAAACACACACAATTTAATTGTCATTAGCAAAGTCATTAGCAGTAAATTTTTTACATCTTCATTCCGAAAAACCACAATTCAAATTTGGTGAATCTTGCGGAATTGATAATAATCTTTTCCCACACTTTGTTTTGTGTATTAATGAGAAATAATTTAACAGTCGAGTCCACCGACCACGATAACCGTGTCCATGTCCGTGTCGTCACCAAACTGTACGTGCGCCGACCGGCTGCAAGCGCAGGGCCTAGGTCGCAAATTGTGCGACGGAGTCGTTGATTGCTGGGATTTCTCGGACGAGACCGGCTGTGGTAATTGCAACAGCGCGTAATTGCCTTTTCCGCCGGCAGTGAAACCATTAATTTTATTGTTTGCAGATTGGTGCAAAGAGGGCCATTACGTGTGCGTTCACAGCAGGGCGTGCATTCCCAAGAAGAAGCTCTGCGACGGCCACAGGGACTGTCCCTTTGGGGATGACGAGAGGACTTGCGTTTCAATCGCGCCAGACACGAAGAGGGCTGACTCGCTGCAGTACCATGACGATGGTAAAAATTTCCATGCAATTTATGTTGAGAAAAATTTATTTTGATTTTCCAGGGGTTTTGATGGTACAGCAAAGGGGTGAGTGGGGACCTTTGTGCATAGAAAAATTGGAGGAGTCGTCATGGCGACTTGGAAATGTGGCCAGAGCTGTTTGCAGGGCCTTAACATACAGGTATCTGAATTTCATGTAAAAATTAATTACCAGTCTAAAAATAATTTTAATTTTTAGTGATTTCGACTTGGCAGAGCAGGTTATTGACCCATCCAGTAAAGGACCCTTTTTCGAGCTGAACTTTGAAAGAAACGGAAGCCGAGGAGCAACTCCAAGGTGAATTTTATGCAATTTTCAATACGCGCATGTCCAGCCAGTTGCCTAACTAACGCTAGAAGCGGCAATAAGGCTCGTATTATTATTTTAGTTGATCTTCTGGTTTTAAATGAGGGCACATATTCAAGTAATTTTATGTATGCGTATCTCTGTTTAAGATTGGCCGTTATGTCTTCCCACTGCCCCAGTAAGGCAGCTGTAAGACTTGGGTGTAGCGATTTGCAATGCGGAGTGAGACCTTTGGCAGTGAGCCAGTGGGCCAGGTGAGTTGAAGCTTTAACGCAGCAAGTTTTCCTTAACATGAAAATATGAAACATAAATGTTGCGCCGCAAATAACTCCCTAATCGCAATTAAATAATTATTTAAAAGTTTAAAAGCATTAAAATTAAAAATTAACCCAGCTCAAAAAAAATATACGAGCATAAACAGTTTCCCTCCATAAAATTGCATGTTAATCACTGCATCAGAGGAAAATGCATGCTGTGCCGTAGGAAAAGGTCGCGCTCATCCTCAGGTCGATTTCGCGGTTCCAGAATTGTTGGCGGTGGCAATGCAGGACCTGGAGCCTGGCCCTGGCAGGCCGCCCTTTACAAGGAGGGTCAGTTCCAGTGCGGCGGAAGTTTGATATCATCTCAGTGGCTTCTCTCAGCGAGTCACTGCTTTGCCCAGTAAGTGAAAACATAAACATTTCAAGTGAAATTTATAAGTTTTTGTTTATTAAAACTTAAAACTTCTTTAATAGCAACCTGGACGCTTATTGGGTGGCCAGAATGGGTGCTCTGAGGCGCGGCACCGACCTGCCATCGCCTTACGAGCAGCTGCGAAGAATCAACAGGATCATCCAGCATCCTGGATATCTGGACACTGGCTTCATCAACGACCTTGCCCTTTTGAAAATGGAGCGCCCAGTTGATTTCAGCGATTACATAAGACCAGTTTGTCTGCCACCTCCAACAGCAGTTGTCACCACCACAACAGAGTCGGCAGAATCATCAACATCTTCGTCACCTGTCAAACCAGAAGAGCAAGACCCTGCCGAGAACTCGCAGATGTGCACAGTTGTTGGATGGGGACAGCTCTCTGAAGTGGGAAGAATATTCCGTAAGTGAAATTTGTTGTTGCAACTTTCATAAAGATTTTTTGAACTTCTAATTATTAAATACTTAAAATTTATCAAATAAATCTATTTTTACTGCATTATAAAAAGAAATATGGTTATGTAACTTTCTATAAAAGATAAACTATGTTAGAAATGATAACAAAATTAGAATTATTTATTAAAATTGTGTTAAATTTTTTATAAATTTGTTTTCCCAAATGTTTTTTAAAATTTGTCAACCTATTAAATTAAATAAACTATATAATTATACTTTTTCATTAATATATTTTTATTTTAATATTGCATAATTATTCTGTGTTAATTTATGTTTCAGCTGACACATTGCAAGAAGTGCAACTACCCCTTATTTCAACGGAGGAATGTCGCCGCCGAACAGTGTTTCTGCCCCTCTACAGGGTCACGGACGACATGTTCTGCGCTGGCTTTGACAGAGGCGGCAGGGACGCTTGTCTCGGAGATTCAGGAGGGCCGCTCATGTGCCAAAGATCAGACGGCCACTGGGAGCTGACAGGCATCACCAGCAACGGCTATGGCTGTGCCAGGGCGCACAGACCAGGCGTCTACACAAAAGTGGCAAACTACGTCAACTGGATCAACGCCGTTCTCAAATCTTCGTGAGATTTTTAATTTATGTAAATTTAAATTCCTAATTTTTGTTAAAACCAGACCTGTTGATGAGCTCAAGCTAGAGAAAAAAACCATCCCCTGTCCGAGTGGCCAGAGGCGCTGCGCGCTGGGACAGTGCATGGCGCCGCCTCCTGCGGGAAGGTGCGACGGAGATTACTGCCCACCACCATCAGCGTGATCTGTCCATTCTTAGTGTAAGATAAAGACTTCCGTTTTATATATTTCAAAAACTTCAAGAAAAAGTGACTGTGAATATAAGAAGTGAAAATCACATTTCTCATCATTCAATTTCCCAGAAAACTGGGGGGTGCTCATTAGCTTTTAAGCTTATAAGACTTCATTCATGACTTTTACTGTACTTAAGTGCATTTATTTTTTTCCTTCATTATTTATTGTTTGGGGTGCAGAAAGTTTTATTGTGCACAGTTGAAATATGGTTTTGTCTTTGCGATTTTTTTTTTAATAAAATCCAAAAGATGATCCTCATATTTTAATACTGTGAGCTTTTAATTGTTGTAAATAAGTAAGATAAGTAAAAGAAAAAAATGAAAATCATTTTAACTCTGTGCAAATGGCCTAGTTTATCAAATTTTTAAATAAATCCTGCTTATTTAAGAATATAAATAAGGAGTGAAAATAAAGAAAATGCAAAAATAAAAATTGAAATGCAATTTTTTTTATTTGTTTCATAATGTATCATAAGAAGAGTTACATGGACACATCAAGACAAAAATTTCTCTGCCTCATAATAAGTAATGTTCACCATTTTTCACCATTAGGTTGAACAGTCAGTTCATGAACCTGCAAAATATTTATAAAAAGCGAATGAAAATTAAAATTAACTCCCCTCACCTGTACATGTGGTGGGGCGCCCAAAACGTAAATTACTGCGTCAGCAATATCATATGGATCCAGACAAGGATTCTCAGAAAAAATCGAGTCATTTACATCCTGCGCTACTCCACTATTTGCAAAAATGTTGGTTTTTACCAACCCAGGACTCACGCTCTGAAAACATAAAAATAAATAATCCACTTCTCTCTCTAACGAGCGTTTTTAACCGAGACGCGAATTTTTGTTCCAATGTCCCGGAGTTCCCTTCGCAGTCCTTCAGTAAGCACCCTGACTGCGTGCTTGCTGGCTGCATACATATAATTTCCCGGTGGCTCTTGAACAATTTGCTGTCCGGAAGTACTATTATGCAAATAATTGACCCATTTATAAAAATTATTTATTTATAATTTGTAATAAACCTGTTGATTTGAACAATGTGGCCGTCAACATTAGTCTTTCTCATCAGCTTAATCGCCTCTCTGGTAAAAATCGTCAATCCCAAAATATTCACTTCCAAAATTTGCCTATAATCTTTAGTGCTCCCATCTGAAGCAAAAAAAATTACGCCTCTGATATTATTTAAATTAAATTCCCGCTATAATTTCCAACCAAAAAGAGTTGCATGAGGGCAAGTGGCTGCATTGTTGACCAAAACGTGCACCTGTCCAAACTTTTCCTCAACCCATTCCATGACAGAGTTAATATCACTCTCCTGCGTGGTGTCGCATTTTAGTGGATGGATCTCGCCACCGTTTGCCGCTTTCCATTCGTCAGCCCAGGTCTTTAATATTTACTATTTTTAATTGAGTTCTTAAAAGGAATTCTTATTTTTACCTTAATTTTCTCCAAATTTCTTGCAACCGGAACCACGATTAGCCCGTGTTTCGCCAGTTGCCTCGCGATTTCGGCGCCGATGCCCTCGCTTGCACCAACTACGATTGCTACTTTTCCCTTCAAGCGCTCCATCATGACTGCCGCCAGATAAGATCCAGCGCGCTCGGTTATAGCGGATGAGTGTTTTCAAGTGCCCTCTTATTTTTTTAAGCTTGGCCAAAGTGAAACATATCGTTTTAATAGGATGTGCCGGTTGCTCTATTTGGGACCAGCGATAAGAGGGAGTTGAGTAAATATTCAATCTCGTGTAAAAAGCAGACGCTGAATCACCTCTTGATTTGTTCACGTGATATGATTTATATTACAATCAGATCAAAGAGAGAGGGAGAAATTTTTTGTAATCATCTCATCCTTATAAAATAAACATAAAAATTTTTAGACTTTACTATGGGGCAATTTTTTCCATTTAAAAAATAAATCACGTATTCATTAAATACATACTATTGAACCTCGTCTCTGGCGCACTTAAAAAATTGAGCCCAGTCAACTGAAATAGAAATGTGTGATTTGTGAGTGGGTCAACCGAATCCACTCTTCTTTGTCCTCAAAATATGTTTAGTTTGTTTATTGCAATAAAAAAAGTATTAATTTGATTTTAAAAAGTGTTATGCAATTTGCAGCACATAGATGTTGTGCTGAGATTGCGTTTCCTATATTATTAAAAGGCGCTCGCGTTATTACATTTTTAAACAAAGTGGTGCTGAATGACGAGTTGGTGTAAATCCTGTTGGCAGCGACTGGCACCTTGGCCCACAGTTGAACTTCCATGGCTCGACAGTCGACTCAGTAATGATAAAGGAGCAAAGCGTCGCTTGAACCAAACACAAGGAATCTAATCGTCTGTGTCTGCTCTTACAGAAAACCAAAATTCCTACTTTGGAATCTCATTTTCTTATTTTAATACTATTTTCGTCCTTGCAGAGCCGGTATTTCAACACGTGTAGATTCTTAAACACTGCAAAGTAGTGTTTTCTACAGAAAATAGTTTGACATGCATAGACTATAGAGGGATTAGAATTGTGAGAATTTCGCCTGCTTATATACTATGTATAAAGAGCTGATTACAAAAATATGAATTCATATGAACGCAGCAGCAGTAAGAAAGAAGAAAAATTTATTTATAACATGTGCTAAAGTTTAAAAAATTATTAAAAAAAAATTATTATCACACTCTGATGTAGAATTTATTTTTTGAATCCAATGGCCTCCCAAACACTACCGAGCCAACCAACTGCCTTGCGCTTACTACCGTTTCCTTCAGACTCCTTCAACTGATCCTCGTCTCGTCTCTTCCTATTCTGGGCCTTGAGATTTTCCCTGGTGATGGTCAGGGCATAGTCACTGTGACCAATAAATGGTATAAATAAATAAATTTTTAATTGCAGATTGTCTATATCTTTCCAAAGATAAAAATTAATTAAGACTTACCCACGCAGCCGCTGGTGTCAAAACCATTTGTCTTGCAAATCAGAAAGAGGGCAGCCTAGCTCCTTCCCATTGTCCGGATCTGCCTTGATCAACTCAGCTTGCGCTCCACCAGCGGCGGCGGAGTAGTCGAGCTCAACTTTAGGGGTGACAGGTGGTTTTATCTCAAAAGACTCCAGTCCAAGTTCATCCACACGAGATGCCATACTTTGCTCACCAACTCGGTCTTGCCTATAAATACTCTAACTAAGTACATTTTGACTTAAATTTGCACACAAAAACCGCACCTTCCTTGAAATTGACCTTCAAGCCATTTTCAACGGCAACCTCATAGAGGAAGCCAGAGGGAACGTTCTGACTGAGACAGGTCTTTGCCAACTCAGGCTCCATATCAATGGAAGACTTGACTATTTCCAAGAGCTCTTTGTTGGAGTCTGAGGGGAACGTTACTCCTTTCTTGTCAGCTTGTTTGGTAGTCAAATTCTCAAGGGACGTGCGAAGTGCGCGAGCTTGATTCTCAATTTCAATCAGCTTGGCCAGCCAGTCGTTGATTTTATCCTTTGTCTCCGTCACCTTCGAAAATTCGCAGAATTCAAATTTCCATTATGTTTATTGATTTGATATCAAAGAATAGAATTTTTAAACGCACGGAAAGAATTATCCGTATATATTGAAATATTTTAACTCTAAATCTAAAGAGATATATAAAAATATAAAAATATCCTCACAAATTTAAATATTATTGTTATTTACCTGATTGTCCAAAGCCGCCAGAGAATTCTTAGCCGAATTCTTCGACCGAAAGATTCGACAACCTTGATATTTCCAACTCAAGATCCTTTCGCTGGCTCTCCATAAGGCCGAGGTGCTGTCCAATGTGCTCGATGAACTCGCGATCAGGGAATGGATTCATTATTCACGGAACTCGGGAAATCGTTAAGAGACTTTAGAGATCAACCGGCGACGCTTTAGTTATAACGCAACAATCAGATTCTCCTCAGGGCGACAACAATGCCAAAAATTACAGAGTAGCAATGGTTGCCATGGCAACAGTGATGGGTAATAAACATTTTGTTGTCACTCTTTTCATTGTGTTTATATCCATAATATAAGACACCATACGTCTCATCAAAAATATAGATCACTCAATTCGCAATTTCTTCTAATTAAAAAATAAAAATTCTCGCGCTCAACCAAATGCAAATAAGAGAGAAACTGTCGTGCACACATTTCTAATTTACATAAAATAACATAATTCAATAATCAGAAAACATGAGACGACACATAAAAAAATATTTTATTTCTCTTGACTTGCACAATTAACCAACATTGTAGTATTTTAAGTCTGCGAATGTGTATGAATACGAAAAGGAAATATGTTTTCTATTACATGATTTAATTGAAATTTTAAATGGATTGTAAAATAACACACTCTGCTTTTAACTCTAAAAACTCAGCCCAAATGCCGCGAGAAACTCGGCGAAAATTCCGGCGAGAAAATAGTCGTTGGTTTAAATAATAATTTGTCAAAAGCGGGTCTCTTTAATTCTTTAGAGGTGCAAAAAATAGCGAATGTTTTTTTCACGGGTCTCTTTTCTCTTCGTCTGCACTTTAAAAATTGGACTTTCAAATAGACGAGAATTTTGTTACTTTTGTATTTAGTCCTTCTCCAATCTAGAGCTTGAAATATAGCAAATGCCGCGAGAAACTCGGCGAAAATTCCGGCGAGAAAATAGTCGTTGGTTTAAATATTAATTTGTCAAAAGCGGGTCTTTTTAATTCTTTAGAGGTGCAAAAATTAGCGAATGTTTTTTTCCACGGGTCTCTTTTCTCTTCGTCTTTAGCACTCGCATTAATTTATTATCAAAAAGCCGACTAAATGTATTAGAGCAGCCAGACCTAATGAAAAAAGTCGTTCTTTGCAAATAATTTTAAACACTGAGGTTCTTCAGCCAGCAGCTGAAAGACCTGTAATTAAGGCGCTCGCATTAATTTATTATCAAAAAGCCGACTAAATGTATTAGAGCTGCCAGACCTAGTGAAAAAAGTCGTACTTTTGCAAATAATTTTAAACACTGAGGTTCTTCAGCCAGCAGCTGAAAGACCTGTAATTAAGGCGCTCGCATTAATTTATTATCAAAAAGCCGACTAAATGTATAAGTTCAGTCAGACCTTCTGAAAAAAGTCGTACTGTTGCAAATAATTTTAAACATTCAGGTTCATCAGCCTGTGATTAAGGCGCTCGCATTAAAATATCATGTTGCCAATGACTGACTTTAAATTTTGGAGTAGTTAGATCCTTGGATAAAAGTTGATTTTTCGCCAAGTAATTCTTTTCAAAAATTAGTATGTCTCAAATTAATCTTGAAATCAATACTAACTTATATTATTTTAATAGGGATATGGAAGAACTGTTTTTAGTTTTAATTCTTGTTTGGAGCCTTGTGATGATATTTAATGCAAAATTATTAGTACTAAGCTTCAAATCACATAAAATTTATTTTATTCACTCTCCTCTGTATCAATGAATGTTCAACATATGTAAGGATTTTTGATAGATAATTAGGAGCACTGTAAGCTATATTTTAATTTGACATGTAATAAGATATAATTTATTTAAAGTTATCCTCTTTTGTATTTTGCAAATTAAACTTTTGTTAGAAATTTCATTTATTACGATTAGGTTAAATGAGTATCAAAATTTTCAGATGCCTTCTAAAATTTCTTTCACGGAAAGATATGTTAACTGAAGATAAGTATTTCAATAATTACACACTTTATTACCAATTATTTTGTTTCATAATTTCTTACAATTTTCATCATTAATTCTGAGATGGTATATTTTCATAGGGTGCATGCATGTTTTTATTATGAAAAATATATTTGAAAACAACAAAAACTGAGATTTTAATAAAAATCTATTAACTTTACATAACGTTAAATATTAATACAAACTATAGGTTTGCAGTCAGTGGGACAGAAATACTCCTGAAGTGTTATTTATTATTTTTCTTCTCAAACGCGCTTATTAACTTGCGCTCTCTCAACAGTAACAGAAATGTGCGATTTATCGGGGGTCAACCGAATCCACTCTTCTTCGTCGTCCTCATCACCATCTTCGTCTCGGTCAGCATCGTAGTCCGTCAAAGTAACATCCAATTGCTCAAAGTTTGCCATCCAGGGCTGCAGTTCCAGTTCCTCCACAGAAAGCTTTCTAGTTTCTTTCTTTTTGTTCTTGTACCCTCCAATTATTGAGCTGCGAACGTTGGGAGGCTCAAACCAAAGCATGCAGATGTAGGCCACATAAACAGCAAAGCAGAGAAACAGCACCACACTCACGACAAACAGACTTTGCTGGAACTCTGTTAAAAATAATAATTATCAAAAATTTCTACAATTCTTAACACATTCTTTTATTTTTTAAATATTTTAATTATTTTTAACCATAAATGAAATTTTATGTAAGTATTTTGTTTAATATATTTTTTATCATATTTTATCTGTCGCAGCCTATTTTATTAATTTTATTTAGACCCCTTAAAAAATGTTCTATGCAACTGGCAGCGCACAGCTGTTGTGCTGATTGCGTTTCCCATCTTTTATAGAAAAGGCGCTGCTATATTTTTAAAGAAAATAAAAACTTTTTACACTAACCTAGGGAAGAAAGGATGGACCTTTGCTCGACGGTGACTAAAAATCTGTGCAATATTTGTCCTGCTCTACACAAGAATTGGCCGGAAACTTCCCGCTCGGCATTTTCAATCAGCAGGGTACCCATCACGTCTACCCTGACGCGACACTTTTTACCATAATAAGTCCACTGTCCAGCGGTCAATAGGTCCAAGCCTTTGCTCCACTGCACTAATTCAAAAGAGGAGTTCCTAAAAATCATGTCATTTCAATTTTAATTTTATATTTCATTTTTTTAAACCGTGGACACATAAGTAAGGTAGAATCTCCTTCCAGTAGCTGCTTGTGGAAATTTCCTGCAACGCCATTCTCCGTCAATAAATGCAAATTTTCAGAATCTTTGAAATATAATAAAATAAGTTATTCATGATCCAAAAATATCGTGGTTTAGAATAGGAACCTTTGTACACGCACTCGCAGGTGTCATATAAAATGAAGTCCGGAAGAGACAACAACATGGTCTTAAATTCATCATCCAGATGCACCAAATCCAGCATAGATGATCGACAAGATATCGCCTTTTTAAATTAATTTTAAAATAATTTATTCAATTAAAAACCGTAGACTTTATTTACTGTTAAATTATAAGGCAGCACTTTGAGCTCTCTTGGTACAACTATGCGGCATCGGCCTCGGCGCCACCACCTGCCACTGCCCATTTTGCAGGATTGACATTCACTCCACGCACCCCAGTGCATCAAAACTGTTGGTCGATCGTCGTTGGCCAATTCCTGAACAGCTTCACTCAATCGCATCAGATTTTGCTCCTCAAATTTGCGAAAATCAGTCCAGTTTCCGGCATCAAAGTTAGTTTTGGCATTCAGCGGTTTCAAGTCTTTGGCAAATATTTTAATAAGATTAATCATTTAAGAGCTTTTACTGCTACAAACGGTCTAATAAATATTTGACTGGCAGAACATCTTCGTGTCCAAATCTTCTGCACTCAAAAATGTTTCCATCTTTATCAGGTAGAAAGTGCTGAATGACAAGTTGGTGGTCAGACGTGGTGTAAATTCTGTTGGCAGTGACTGGCGCCTTGACCCCAAGTTGAACTTCGCTGGCTCGACTCAGTGATGACGAAGAAACAAAGCGGCGCTCAAACCAAACACGCGGGACCGCATCATCCGTGTCTGGTGCAAAACTTTTACTATGATCCAAGTTCTTTATTAGCAAACTAAAATTCTTATTCAAATGCTATTAACTTACTCGCAGAGCCGGCATTGCAACACAATTTTCTCCCCTTGTTCCGCTGGGACAAGTTCAATTTCGAGTTGACTTGCTTCTTCGGTGATGAGATCAGTGCCGGAGACGCAGTGAGCTTGCGAAAATTCAGAGTCGCTGCAAACTGTCGGCTCCAGAAATAAGTTTGATAGGCAAAGTAATAATAGAATTGTGATCATTTTGCTGCTTTTCTGAATCAAGAACAGAATAAACAGATTTAAAAATGGAGAGTTTATAATTAGGGCAACAATGAGAAAAAACAATACATCTGTTGATATTTATATTGTTGTGTATAGATAATATGCTGAAAAATTACATTATTATAAATTCGACCAATTTTTGTACTAAAATCCAAAAATTGAAACTTAAAAATTAAATATATAATTACTAAAATATTAATTTTTAGCTTTCTTCAAATTATTGGCATTGAGAAGATAATAATAATAAGTAAAACATTTAAATTCATTCATTTTAGTTTTGTATTTTATATTTATTTTAATTTAAATCTGCAAAAAAACCTGATATTAATACAAGTATTAAAGTATTTAAGTTTAAATTTTATTATTTTACACAAAAACATCATGTATATCCATTCAGGAAGTCTATTGCTTTAATGTTAGACATCAAAAATACATTCATAATAAATACACATAAAAATAGAAAAAATATCAGTATAAGAAAGCGTTCAGTTTTAATTCTTCTCCAAAATTTAAAGGTCGAGATCAAGTTGTGTTTCAAAGCAGGCCAGGCGTCGCTTGTGCCTTGAGAGTCTCATTTTCACATAGAAACCTCCGTTGAGCAAGTAGTCGGGTAAAACGGCTGCAGGGCTAGTGATGTTGAATTCAAGAGGAGGCATTGCATACAGACCCTGGAAATTAATTTTTCAGTGAAACAAAAATGATTTTAATTATGCATAAACTAAAAAAAGAAAATTGGTGAAAAATGTTTTAATACCTTTGGAATGGGGCAAGCGCATTCTCGCCAGTAGGCAGTCGAAGTATAGTTGGCTGGAAGACCGTCTGTAGAAGGTGCGGGGCAAAGAGATCCGTCTCTCGGGAGTATTTCTGGGGCACAAACGTTGGGAACAGAGCATGAATCACCCGGGCAAGGCAACTCGACCCAGGTGGTTCCCAATCCAAGGGGCAGAGGCACCTCTTTCTCTACGCGAACTGCAATCTATAAAAAATATTTATTTTTATATTTAAGGATAAAAATTTAGAAGAAAAATTTAAAAGTTAAATTGAAAAAAAATGTCACCTTTATAGGCGGGTTGATGACCTCTTTAACAAGCAGAGCCATTTCTGCCCTCATCATTCCAGGTACCTTGACTGGATTTGGCAAAATCTCAAGTTTCTGCAGCTGCATCGGGTCCTTTTTGCTGCCGCAGGACCGCCATTCGAGCGATGCGGTGCCTGACCGCGGCTTCCTCGCACCAGCGAAGGCACTCAAGAGAGTGGGTCGCGGTTGCTGCTTGGCGACTGGCACTGCCTGCGGATTCATTCAATAATGATTATCGTCGTTGCACCGAGATCGCAATTTGGTTTGTTGCATAAAAATTCACACAAGGAAGCACTTTCTCTAGGCAATGATTTGGACAAATTAAGGAAGTACCACGAGAGCGAGTGACTGATTTTTTTTATACTGCGCGCTAATTATTGACATTGAAGAAATTGCATTTCTCGGTGAGAGAAAATGACACTCCGATTGACTAAACAAACACCACGGCATGATTTCTTTCAACGGCACATTTTTGTTCCGAAAGAAAAATTACCTAAAACAGAAACCCACTGGGCACTGATAGATGAGAATGATTTTTTTCTTCATTAAATCGCATTAAATTAGCGCAAAAATAAATGAACGGACAAAAGGTAGCGGAAAAACGAGTGTTATTTCCAAGGTTGAATTGCGACAAAAGTGAGAACGGCGAGAGCTGCACTATATTATACTTCTTAGTTGCTCATTGACTATGGACGCCGTGAATTTAGATCAACCTTGCATGAAAAGCAACTCACTATGTTTTGCAAAGATTTCCATTCACTGGTGGAATTAATAATGCATCCAACCTCCAACCACAATCTAAAACAAAACAGACAAAATATTTTCCATTTCAGGCAACACTGATTGTGAATAATCTTTTTCAATCGGTTCTAATGCGCTATACAGAAAAAAATAAGAAAGTTTCATTAATTATCTGATCTTCAAGTAATCCCTGAAGTAAACTCTCCGCTTAAATAAAAGGTCCTTTTTGCACTCCAGCACATCATTTAAAAACTAATTGCATGAAAAATTGACTTAAGAGAAAGTGACGATCAAGATTATCCTTAAATTTTATATGCCGCAGTGCAATGTGCAATTAACAATGGTAATTAATTATTCATTCATGCTAACGTCAGGTTGAAATTAAATCCTCACTTTGTGCATAATTTTCTTCAAATTTAAAAGTTTTCTAGCATAAAAAAATGTAAAAAAGGTGTTTGATGTCCGTCTTCCAAACATATATGGCAATTAAAATTACAAAACCTTAAATCATTAAAAAAATCTCCCACATTTTTGTTTAAATTATGAAATTTTCTAGGAAACTGGACCGCATTGAGAAATGCAGCTATTAAAAAAATTATCCCAAGTCTACGAGAGATCGTGTTTCCATTCATGGATGTTTTCCGCGGTTGTCTCCACTTTTCATTCGAGCTGATCATAATATTACTATAGGGCAGGGCGTTGCGGAGGCGAGTTCTCGATTCAATTTGCGTGTAAATGAAAATTCGATCGGCGCATGCGGCGGCTTAAGCGGTTAGTGTGTCAAAGTCTCTCCTGCTAGCGAATGTATATCACGCTCGCGACGAGACCCGCAAAACAAAAAGCTCACCGACGATCGTAATAAGCCACAGAGAAGTGAAATCACTCTCACGTCTTTTTTCATTTTTTAATTTGATGCAGAAAACTCAAATGCCACTGCACGCCGACCATAATCTAATAACGCGCCGCGCGCACACGCAAATTACTTACTGTGGCTGCAATAAAAAATAAATCTATTGCACCTGAGGATATTTTCAGTGACGTTTACGTCACGATCACGCTTTCTGTCTAACACAAGTAAATTAAAAAGCCTCATTAAACGACGGAATTCTTTCAGCCCTAAAAATATAAACAACGCTCATAAATAAATTACTATATGAAGGGAAAACAAGCGATTTTTTATTATAAGAGAAATCCTTCTTTATATTATTCATTTTAGGCAATGAGGAATCTTTTTTACGATCCTACAAGTGAGCCTCGTTTTTTCAAATTTTATATTCAGCAAGAGAGATCACTTGACCTTTCACCTTGGCAATTAGATGCTCATTGGCATTTATTTGATTTATACGCGCTGAAATTTTGCGTACACGTGTTTGGCAGTTGGCTATTCTTTTGAATAACTAACGCGGAAGAAAGAGAGTGTTTTCACTATCATTTGAACTTGAATTTTTACAATCACGGCTCACGTTTGAATTACAAATTATGAATTTCATCTTCCAACCTAAAAAATTAATTGATAAGTTTCCGGGTTAAAAACAGGAGTTTTGACTAGTCATTGAAAAATTCAATGCCACACACAGTAATAAATTGCAACATTTTGTTGGCGTCTACTTTATAATGCAAAATATATTCTTCTTTGTACTATAATCAAACCAAGGTAAAAACAGCAAAAAAATAATTAAAAAAAAAATATATATAAATTTATAACTTTCTTAATGTTTGTATTATATATTTGGGCAGTAATTGCAACTGATTGCCTGATATTATAATTATCAATAAAGAAACTTTGCAACTAAACATTTTTTTTTAATCCTTACCCTGACGATTCTGCTTGACTTTGCAAGGGGCTCTTCGGCGCCCAAGTCCATGTTGAAGCTCTGACCATTTGCAAGGGCCGAAATGAGCGATTTGAGAACCAGAGCTCCAAGTTCTTCCTTCTCTTCAGGTTTAAGATTGGCCGATGCTCCAGCGACCAGCAGCATGCCCACCGCAGCCGCACTCAGCATCACCGTCGCCGACCTCATCCTTCGCGATTTGTTTTGACTCTGAGAGTCGCACACCTGAGCTCGCAAAAGAGAAAGCTCGCGCGCCGCCGCTAGAGAGCCCGAGTGCATAAATTTAAGTGGAAATAAGAAGGCAAAAGGTGCTTTAGTTTTTCGATTCAGTAGCGTCGCGGCCGGTCGTCGATGGTGCGAGATAAAAATGCAGCGGTGCATTCAATTGCTATAGTTTAATCTCTTCATAATCAAAGGAAAGGGAAGCATGGAAATCGCTCTCCAATAAAGACTCTCTATTATACAAAAAAATGATTCGGCAGTAAAAAAAATTTAAAGTGTATCACTCTATCAATCTATATGTGCAAACGTGGGATGCTTCCATGAATTTAATAGAAAAATAACACTAAAAATAATAGGTACTTCCGGGTACTTCTAGATTTCATATTTAAAGAGCTTTAGTATCAACGTTCTTTGTTTTGCAAAAGAGTGGAACCACCTCTGTGGCTTGATCATTTTAATTCGTCATTCTCAAAGCCTCTTATTCTTGCTTCCACATCTTCCTGAAAATTTCTTTCATCTCTAATTCTTTTTCTGTTTAATCTGAGCGCTCGTTACAACCAGGGCCACATAATAATATCTTATCCATAAATGCCCCTGTAACGCCTGCCAGTCAACTGAACGCAACACACGCGACGCGCATTTACTGTCGGTTGCATATTTTTGGCTTATCCTTTTAGTTTAAAAAACGACCTAAACTAAGAGATGTTAAATATGAGTGTTTTTAGTGTTTTCTCTACAAATTAATTGTTTTTTTCTCTCTTGATTAGTTTTATAAATATAAATTGCATTAGAGTTCAGAGCTTTTAAATGCCTACTTCTTTTGTGCTAGTAAGTGCGTCTAAAAAGATCACTTTGACGATTCCTGTCTAATGAAAAAAAGAAACGATAGAAACTAAAAAGATTTATAATTTTTTTAAATGAAACTTATTTATGTAAGCTTGCAACAAAATTATTTTCTATTCCAAATAATGAAACAGATTTCATGAAATTTACAAAATAATTAAAATTTTCAAATCTTGTAAAGCAGAAGGTTAGGATAAAACCTAAGACCTTCAATGGTATCATCTCTGCAAATCATGCCTTCGCTCTCAGACAGTAAAAGTTGTTCTCTGGCAAGTAACACGGCTGTTCCTAAAGTCTGCGCTAACTCCTCTGCCGTGAAAGAACCATTGTCCCTGACCTATCATTTTTATATTAGTATCAACAATTATAAAAGGGAATTTTATCCATACTGCTTGGGTGGTGGTTTTGATGATTGATTCTTTGTGTGTGTTCAGATGGAGCACTTGAACGCCGCTTTCAAACTTCTTTAGAGTCAAGGGTAGGTCTAGAGTGGTCATCAATTGGCACGACTTGAGCATGTCATCCGGAGAAAGCATGTCCAGTCCTCGAGCTCGGTTTACACGACAGTACGCTTCTGGCAGTGTCATCATGCCACCAATTTCCTGCAAATAATTATTTAGATCTTAACATAAATTTGAAGATTCAATAAAACTACTTTGATCTGCTCTTGGAGTGTGGTTGAAATCTGCTTTGCCAGGTTCTTGTGGTATTGACTTTCACTTCTCGAGTTGTCCCTCGTTACAGGGTCTTCAATTCCCAGACTAAGCAAGTAGGATTTGAAATGAACTGTTTCGTCGTCAGATATTTCTCCTTGTGTCTCCTGAAAATATCAATATTCAGACTAGAAAGTTTGGGGAAAATCGAATGCTACTTTGATCTTATCCGAGATGTTTTTGGAAAGTTGCACCATGCCCTTGGCCATGGACATTAGTTTGCTCAAGTCCTCGAAAGCAAGAGAAATGCTTTCATCGTTTGCCTTATGCTTTGCTTGTATCTGCCTTTCAATTCCCACAATACCTGCTCGAATATTTCTGCCAGGAAGCTGAAATATTTTCAGAAAAGAATGAGGAAATTAAAAAGCAATTTAATTTTTTGAATTCGTCAAACCTGTACTGGAGGAGGAGCTCCAGGTAATGTCGTAGAAGTTAACGAGTACTTTTCCCACTTTCGATCCTGCATGACGTTATTGAAAAGGGTGAGAAATGCGCCATCAAAACCATCTTTAAAAGACAGCCTCAAGAAATTGTGATTACTTTCTTCAATTGGGCCAGGGTTCTTCCCTACAATTTAAAAAACAAATTATCTTTTTTTCAGGACGAATAAATTATGAAAAATCACCAGGCAACGTTTCTGATAGGTGCAGCAATACTTTCCGGCTTCTAGAGAAGTTGAAACTGTGTGCTTTTTCTTCCTCAACATAGACTAGATAGTGGAGTGGCAAACTAAGGCTGTTCTTAGAAGCACTTGCCGGTTGCACAAATATCAAACGATGAGAGGTCAGAACCAGATCACCATTCACAAAGGTCGCAGTCTAAAATAAAGAACAGAGTTATATTTTTCTTTGTACTGTACATAATATAATACATGTCACTGAATACATAAAAAATGTAAGAAAAGAAAAATAATAAAAGCTGACCTTCTCATCACCGTCGTATATTTTGACATTCCGATATTTGGTCACCTCCTCTTCTTTTGGGTGCAAGTTTGGGTCATCATACTCAAGACGATCCATCTGCTAAACGCGAAATACAAGAAGACTCCGCACTCTCCGCAGGAATCTCCAATAATTATTCCAAACGTCAAAATTAAATCCTAGGGACCTACCCAGTTCCAAATTTTTATCCAAAATAAACAAAAAACATAAAGTCAGCTGCTGTCCACAAAAATGACAACCAATCGCGGATCGCGGCCAAGACGTCAGGCTAACCGAGAAATTTGATTGGGTTTGAAGAACATATTCTACCAACATAATCCAAATTAAGGATTAATTTCTGGCAAGGACGCCAACAAAACAAAAAATTAAAAAAAACTACAAAACAAACTCAAAACTCGCCCGACTGCTGCCTTGACTCGAACGTTGATCCACAATGTTGTTATGAAGAGAAATTAACTAGAGTTTAATCGTTTTTGGTATTTTACTATTCAAATCTTGGCCAATCTTGGCGTTAAAACAAACAAGAGGTATGTATTAATTTATTTTGTGCTTTTTTTGTGATTTTTTCATCAAACTTATGCACATGCACAGCACATGCTAACATAACATTCATCATAGATTTAAAAACATTTTTCGTTCTGTATTTTAGAATTTCTCTTGATGACTATAGCAACAATTATTATTACTATAGCGTTAAAAATATGAGGTAATCTCTACCAACTAATTCCTGATTTGATTGAAGTTAATTAATTACAAGGCAAAGGATCATTATTAAAAAATACACATGTAAATTTATTATGGAGCATAGTCTTGTCATTTATTTATAATTTTCTCACTTTGTTCTTAGAAATTGCAAAATGAATGCTTCTGAGGGAGACGTTGTGGTTCCTGGAGATGTTGTCCAGCTGCCAGCTAAGTCAGGTGGAAAATTAATCCTTGGCCCCGGCCTGATGAAAGTGAGGGAGGAAGTTCATGTGACAAAGTGTGGAGTTCTTAGGAAAGGAGGCAACCACATTTACTATGTGGATAGCCGGCAGAAAAAGTATGTTCCTGCTAAAGGAGAGTGTGTTCTCGGAGTCGTCACCAATGCTCGTGGTGAAATGTTCAGAGTAAGATCTCGGTTGTTAACATATTATTCAATGATTCTTAAATTTTTAATCCAACAGGTAGACATTGGCTCCAGCGATGAAGCGTCAGTATCATACCTTGCATTCGAGAATGCCACAAAGAAGAACAGGCCGCTTATCAACGTTGGAGATGTCATTTTCGGCAAACTCTTGGTTGCCAGCAAAGACATGGAGCCAGAACTGGTGTGTGTCGATTCTCACGGAAAGAAAGGTCGCCTCGGAGTTCTGCCAGAAGGAGGCTTTCTCTTCTCATGCAGCTTAAATTTGGTCAGAAAAATTCTCAAGCCCACTTGCCCTCTCCTGGAGACGCTGGGCAAGGAACTGGCTTATGAGGTGGTTGTCGGAATGAACGGCATGGTCTGGGTCAGGACGAACAGTGTCCGAGAGACAATACTTGTATGTAATGCTATTTTGAATATGGAAACTTTAGAAAACCACCAAATTGAGCACGCTGTGCAAGAGCTTGTGTATCAATTATCATCGTGCTAAATAAAAATCTTTGTAAGCAAATATTTACATTTTTGTAATTATATATTAAATTCATACTTTCTTGGGTTAGGTAAACAAATTGATTTTAAGACTTTTGTCAGTTGCCTTGCTTTATCACTTTATTCAATATTTACATAACAAAATTAATTGATGTTTTTTGCAATCCATACTTTTGTACATTGAAATAATCATAGAAAAGGAGCATCTCTCCAATAAACAAAATAACGCCGTCTGAATTTTTCGGGGGCCAAAACACGAACCAGTTGGCACAGGAAATGTATATTAGCTTTCCTTATTTGACACTGAATTCACCAAGCCATATGCTGATGCACATATACGCAGTAATCTTTCTCAAGAGAGGCAGCGGCTGCACTCCTAATTTTTTCTGCCAAAAATAGGAGTCAATTACACGCGCCCCGTAGAAGCGACTGATTTAATCAATCCACAAATAACATTCAATCAGCCACTGGTTACAGGATATTTTTGAAAAAAAAAAAAAACTGAAATATTTCTTTGTTTGATAATCGATTATATCTTAAGTCGTTTATGGCAGACTTTCAAGCAGAAATTACGAGTTATCACAAAATTAAACTGAGCTAAGCAACATTCAATAGCAATCAGGTTTTTTTTTATCTAGTATTAGTACGGTAATGGGGCGGCAGCCTAGTTCTCTTCTTGAGAGAGCATGGCAGTTTGTGCAACAAAAGTGATGGAAGCGAGTATGGTACAGCAAGCATTGAAACAGTGCTACATCTCAAGACGGGACAACCGAACGCTCGTTTTTCTCTTGTTCTAAATTACTTGAATGTCCAAGCGATTTGTGAAACTGTTAATAGTAAGTATGCTCATCTATTGTAAGGCTTGTTGATTTCTTTTTGACTGCCACTTAGCAAAGGTATTTTGGTTTGAGCACCTTTCTATGATCCTCCCTAGCCTTGGATTAATTAAATTCTTAGAAATGAGGAATTCAAAAGTCAAGAGGAAGAATAGAAATTATGGATAAATGAACAAAAATCACAATTACATTGTAATTCATAATAATTTAGCAATTTAACTGTACAATTAAATAAATCTCTTTTCTATTATATGCACACATTATTGCCCTGCGAGACTGTCAAATTAGTTTTGCTCTCTCGTGACGATCGTCGCCACAGGTTTGCGTAATTCCCACTTTCGTCAGTCAATCGACACGTACAGAGACAAGAATAAAATTATCTAACGTTTAACCTAACAAATTAATTACTCCCACATGCCGGACTCTTCAGTAGAGAAGGAGGCAAAAAGCTCGGATAGATGCAATGCACTAGCAGTAATGTAATATATTTTCTAGTTGTAAATTTTTGACACTCAATATTTCTTGATTAAGAGAAAGAGCGGCAGGTGGGAGTTGGGGAGCAGCAGGGATCATCAGTTAGAAAGGAGCAAGCACCCACTTACAAACAAGGGTACTTGCGGAACTCATTAACGGCACTCCCACACTTTCAAAACTTGGTCTACGCCTCCCGTCACGACACAGGGTCTGCTTGGGTGGAAATCTGAAAAAAAAATAAAGAAATTGAGAAATGGTTTGGATATAATTTAATTCTATTTAAGGCTTACAATTTAAATTTAATTTTTAATTTATTAAATATTAAATTAGTAGGACTATAAATACCAATTGTGGTGCAGAAGTGGGAGTGAGCCTCTAATGTCTTCATGCAGCGTTTGTTCCGGAGATCCCACACTCGGAGAGTCTTATCGTCACTTGCTGAGGTCAGGTACTTGCCCCCAGGGTGGAATGCAAGGCCACGCACCCAGTTGTCATGACCAATCAGGGTGAACATGCACAGTCCAGTTCCAATATCCCAGACCTATAAATTTTACTTTTCAAAGTCTTTCTCTCCACAAAATTACACGTGTTACTTTAATTGTCTTGTCTCTTGATCCTGAAGCGAGGAATGGTCCCGCCAGAGTTCCTATTTTGTTATCGTTGCCAGCTGCCTCATTGATGGCAGAGTTTGCAGATTCAGGCGCCCAAGTTATGCATTCAACAACGTGGTCGTGATCCCTCATTTCCATCTTGCACTCCCCAGTCTGAACCAACCACACCCTGACTGTTTGGTCGTTGGAGCAAGATGCGATCATTGAGCCGTCAGCACTGCTGCGAACCATTCGCACCCACTCCCTGTGTCCAGTAAAAGTCTTCACACAGTAGCTGCAATAAAATATTTTTTTCATTACAATTTATAACAATGGTAACTACTAATTTGAATTTTAAAAAAATCTGGAGTTCATTACACTTACCCGCTGGACACTTCCCACATCTTGATTGTTTTGTCTCTTGACGAGGACAAGATGAAATCACCTCCAGGCAAGTAGCACACGCTGGAAACATTGTGCTCGTGGCCATGCATGGTTTTCATACATTCGTAAGTTTGGAAGTCCCACAACTTAATTGACATGTCTGCACCACAGGAGGCTAAAAGGAAAAATGGCAGATTAGATTAGGAGCAGTTTTGGTTAAGACAAGCTAAAATTATACCAAGTTGTTTCCCGGCAGGGTCAAATGCAATATCCTGGACTCCACTTGTGTGTCCCTTAAGGGTCCTCTCGTAGTCTCCGGTTTCAAAGTCCCAAACCTTGATAGTGGCATCTTCACTTGCAGACACCGCCAAGGTGTAAACAGGGTGGAAAATCACCTGAACCATACAAATACAAGTCTGCAATCAGTATTTAAAGAATATATACGAATAACTAACCCTATTAATGGTTGCACGGTGTCCACTAAGACTAAACTTTTCAGGCGGTCTTGGAATCCACTCTGTAGGTGAGCGCTTATTCCGCGTCGGGGCTCCCTCGATGAATTCCTTTTCGGCTTCAGAGAGTTTTGCTTCCAACTCCATAACCTGAAGAAAGATAATCATTTCAGTGAAAGCAAATTTGCAAGAGATCAAAATGCAACCTTCTTTTGGAGGCGTATTACGGAGGTCCATTTCTTTTCCAAAAGTCCTGAATACTTTCGATCCACTTCGTCAGACATGCTGGCTTCCCTTTTGAATGCTTCCAGCGCATCCTTGTACCCGGCACTGTCCAGATAATCTGCGACTGCCTTATTCCTGTAACATTTAAGGTAAAAATATCAAATCAAAAATGATGACAACACAATAAGTGCATTTTTTTTAGAAGAAAGTCATTAAGTCGACTGCCAGGAATCAGAGCCAAGAATTCAAGGATGAATTATTCAACAGAACAAATCTGCCAATACTTTCTTTACTTTCGTTTAGGAAAGCATTTCTTTTTCAGTTGGAAGAACCAAAATGTGCTTAACTAACCGCAACTTGGCGTGACACCTGTCCGGTGTTGTTGTTTGCGAAGGTCAGTGATAATTTAAGATCGACAAACGCATCTCGCGGCTTATTTGGACTGAAGTTCTGCATGCGAAAAAGGAGCTATGCAATGAAAATGATTGACAAACCAGTTCCGCAGGCAAGTCACTTTAAAAGGCAAATTAGCGGCGCAGTACAAAGATAGTAGCACGTCTTACTACTACTGCAGCGGCAATCCGGGCATTACATGTATTATTAAACGCGGCGCGCGAGTGACTTGCATTTAAAAGAAGACGCCAAGGCTGCCCACGATCGCGGAATTTCGCGACTTCACTCGCTTCTTAGTATGGCCCTTTCCAACAAGCACCAAACCGAGTGTGACGCACAAAATCCCGCAGAACCGAACAGCCTGATGAGCAAAAACACTGGCGCTATAATTTTCGCAATGCAAGCAAAACTGGCAGAAATGTATTTATTGCAGCAGCTAATTGCTTTATTTAAAGGTTAACCTGGCTATTTTGTGCAACAGGGAAATATTATAAATCAATAAAATTAAACGTTTGAATGTTTTACCAAGTCTTTAAAAAAAAAAAAAAAAAAAAATAGCGTTTAAATTTTGTGCGTTTGTAAAGGCAAAAGTTGCTTTACAGAATAAGCTAACAATAACATTGCTGTTATTTGATTGAAATTTGGTAAAGGCCTAATGTTGCTAATCTAGAAACGACCTTTGTATTAATTTGATGATCGTTTTTTTATTAGCAATCTGTATAAAAATATTTTGCATATAAATCAGCCACTCAATGCATAATATTTCTTTGGTTATAAATTCTATAATATTATTTGCAGATGCTACTTCATCACATAATTAGTTTAAAATAAATATCAAATCTTTACTTTAATTGTGTGTTCATTGATTTTTTAGTGCAATTATTTTTTAAGACGTTCAAATGTCTTCTTAGGTCAGTGCAGAAGAAAACCCCACGCACCAGGGTTGCTATGGCAACTCGGAATTTCCACGGGAGACGCATCGATCGCGACCGCTGACGTACTTTCATGCAACCCTTTGACCGAGAGAGACCGTCGGTCGATTCGCCCACCCCTCCACACAGCGGCCGCGGGATGATCCGCGCCACCCCGAAACCCGATCCTGCTAATTGGATCGCCCCCGCAGGAAACGTCGGCCGACACCGTTTCCGCCCTCATCCGACTCGAACTTTTGTGTTGCTATAACTTATTGCGACGCCCTTTGCACGTCTCGAATTTTCCGTTCAAGGGCTCGCGTGCTGAAAAGAAATTCGAGCGAGAGAAACTAACTCGTGAATATGAAGTTGACAGGAGAAAACTGTAACACAACGGCGGCCCTTTTTCACGGCGGTTCTCATCTATTGTTCTTGGCGAACTCATGAAATGCAAATAGTAGATCGTTTGAATTTCAGGTTTAAGAAAGGGAATCAACTGCCGACTGGATTAATTATTCTCCAGTCCCAAAATAAAAGAAAACTGCTGCTAATTTTATTATAAAATCTAGGCGCTCTACTGTTTACTCCAGTCTCCAGTGAAAATCACAATATTTTGTTAAAAAAATTCAATGTGTTAACAAAGAGGAGATTTTATAAATACATTTTTTTTCTTGGTAAATTCATACGGAATTAATATATAATCTTCAAAGAGCTCATTGTAATGAAAACATATAAAAATTTGAACATAAACAGCATAATGTTTATCTTTACAAAGATTAAAATTATTTCAACCCTTGATCAAGAATTTCTACTACAATAAAAAAGATCTTAATAGCTCTGAAAAAGACACTTGCTGAATAATATTATGACCTTTTAGACCTTTAAAGTTCTTGAAATATCATCTGCCGGCATGGATTTATAAAAGAAGATCTTAACAATATTTCTACACTACCCAAAATTCCAACAAATAATAAATAGCAGCGAATTTGATATAATAAAAAAATTGTCACTTCTAGTAAACAAGATTTACATTTTTAAATAATTATCAATGGAATTTCAACGGGCCCCATGTAAAATTATCAAATGCAACACCCTTGATTGCCGTCACAGATAAGACTGGCAGATTCTTGGCTCCGAACACCGTGCGAGTCTCTCTCGTTCGCACATCACCGTTTGCTCCATTGTTTTCCTTGGTGTTTGCAAACGGTGCCTTGGTGCGTTTAACCGAACCCTAAAATAAACTGTCAGTGCGTGGCAAGACACAGGTACTCACAGCTCCTCGCGCTGACGCTGGGACAACACCATTTTCATGGTCTTTGCTTGTGTGGAGAGGAAAAGAGAATCGGATGCCTCTGGTCGGACCAACCTCTGCGTCTGAATTTCAAAGAAGCAACAGCCGTCTTACTCCTGCCACTTCATTTGGCCACCTGCAAGCAGAGGAAGAAGAATGTACACGCTCGTTACTCATTCACATACACCAGGGCTCAGATTACACACTAGCGAGGCGGGGAAAGTCGCGACCGGCGTTAATAATCTCGAGTGCAATTAACAGCAATTTATCTGGAACAATTAGCTCGGAAGAGAGTTGTTGCGATTCAATTTGCCGCTCTCAGTATTGAATGGCCTTATGATTTTAAATATTTAAGGAAACGGCTGCACAGTTTTGTTCCGCGCACTGTAGACCTTGCTAGCCGGCGAAAGGGTTCTCACTAGCAACTTTAAAAAGTGCGAATGGACCTCCCTCAGGGAAAGGTTCGCCGCTATCAATATTGGTCTAATTTTTTTTTAGCGATAAACGAAAATGTCATTGCCAGAGCGACCGAAGAAAGGCTCACTTGAATTTCAGGCTCAGGGCCGTGACTCACGAGGTTTATATAATTTATTCCAGGAGCTGGGGAAAAAATACTGATAAATTAAAGGTTAAAACATGCAGGTCAAGTGAATCAGACAAGACGAGGGAAGGACAAAGTAGCAAAAAAGTTTAAAAGAAAATTTAAAATTCTTCCAAGATATGAATAATTAGTAAAAAAATATCATGGATTTTGGTGGATCGAGGTGTTAAATGATCTGATAATTCAAGTTTTAAAAAGTAAATTATGCATAAAATTAACAGTACTATCAAACCTGTTATGCAAAAAAATTATGCACATACGGAATTTTTTTAACAATTTAATGTGATACATATAATAATTATGACTTATGATCTTAAACCTTAAACTGAAATAAGATTACAATCCCGTAAGCAAAAATATTGTTAATTTAAATAAACATTAAAATTTGCAATAAATTAATTATGCAAAAGTTGCATAGATAATGTACGAGCAATGTTAATTATTGACATCTTGCGCCAATCGATGAACCTGCTGGATCAGTCGGACGCACGACCTTTTAGGCAAGACTCGCAATGTTACTTCCTGGGCAGGTCGTGCTTTTGGAACCTTCATGCTTTTCGAGCACGGCTTGCAGATAAATTTGAGACGAACAATGCGCTAAGAGCCTGACATGAGAAAACAACGGTTCGCCAGATGAGCAGTCATGTCATTCACATCAAGCGATTTTCTGTTTACATTTGCGATGCACTCGTATTGGCAAGGCAAGTCTCAAAGGTCTCCCCGGACGGAGGCCGGTGCCGACGAGGTGTCTGAAGGGTCCTTCGTCTTGTCAAAGCGAATCCGCGATCGAGAATCGCGAATTCGGCCCAACATTTGTTGTTCTGTGCAAACGGCCATTTTAAGGTCACGCGTTTATTTCGTTGATTTCGCAAAAAAATCTGCCCGTTTGGAAAATTTAAGGGTGAAGGTTTGTTGAAGGGTAAAACCTGTCGGCCGCCTGCCAAATCAGAAAGGGCGCAGCACTCACCTGAGGGCGAGGAATCGGGGAAATACGTAGATGAAACTCGGATCGATCGGATACGAAGTGACGGCGCTGTAGCGAACTGGCAGACAGGCGAAGAGCAGTCATTCTCTCGCCCACTTTCTCGCCGCTTGCGTGATTCACCGAGACGATGACGTCAGTGTTCAAAAATATGAACAGTCAAGCGCGGGAAAGAAAGCCTGGTTTAAGGATTTTCCCCCAATTTATTTATTGTCACATGTAATACTTTTTTGAGAAAATTCATTAGAACCAAAATAATAATTATATTACTCAATAAAATACTTTCCATCTCCTCTATCAACAGGGAAGTCCCGTAATGCGCGCAATATCAATAGTTGAAAAATTATTACGCCCCCTTTTCCCCTCCCCTCCCATGTGTTTGTGTTTATGTTATGTTTTGATCAAGAATTAATACTTTTATGTAGTTTTGATTTTTCAAAACACAGGAGGATGAGCAGAAGCAGTCTAATTTTTTTTTAATTCGTACAAGATACATTAAATTGTATGAAAAGCTTATCAAGTTCTCAATTTTTGATTATCTGTTCTTATAAGATGTCGATGAATCGTTTTATGCACCCTAGAAATATTTACAAAAACAAACCTGATTTTTTAAAACTCGCGGAAGGTGACGCTAATTTTAAAAAATTTCTGAAACCAGTAAGCATTATTTTTGTAATTTTTATTTAAGGTTGATTACACTTGTCTTTCTGTCTTATCCTGCAGGGTTTGTCGGGTAAATCAACCATAGATTTCAAGGACAAAGATGCAGTCAGAGCTTTGTCAAAAGCCCTTCTTTCTAGGGACTTTGACCTTCAGGTTGAAATACCACCAGACACTTTGATTCCTGCTCTACCTTTGCGACTGAACTATTTGCTCTGGATAGAGGACCTATTGCATTGGACAGCAGATAAAGAGGAAGTTATCCATGGAATTGATATTGGTAAAATTATAAATTTCTCTCGAGCGAAAAAATTTTGATAGGCGCTTTTGCCAGGCACTGGAGCTTCTTGCATATACTCATTACTGGCCGCCAAGAAAAACAAGTGGAAAATGACGGCTACAGAAATCCGAAAGGAAAGTGTGGAGGTGGCTGTTAAAAACATAAAGGCGAACAAGCTAGAGGATTGTATATCTGGTTTGTTTGAATCTAATTTTTATCTTTGCCTAAAATTTTAAAATTTTTTGTATTTAATTTTAGTTGTCAAGGTTGACGAAGAGCAGTTTCTTGTTGGAGTCTTGGAAGTTGAAAAAACCTATGATTTCTGCATGTGCAATCCTCCATTCTTTGCATGCGAGTCTGAGACTGACTCGATGTCAAAGTCCAGATCGCCTCATCGGGAGCCACCAAAGAATGCATTTAGTGGGTCACCATCAGAGCTTGTGGCAGTCGGGGGCGAATTGAAATTTATAAGGGAAATTATTAATGACAGCAAATATTTGGCAACGCGTGTCAAGTATGTAATTAAATAAATCTTTTGCAACTTATTTAAGATATTTTTTGCAGAGTTTACACAAGCATGGTCGGCCACAAAAATAATGCAGACATCCTCGTGAAAGAACTTCGACTAGCAAATGCGAAGAGTGTGTCGAGAACAGAGTTTTGCCAAGGAAACACAACTAGATGGGGCATCGCGTGGACTTTTTGTGAAAAAATAAAGTTGCCCGAACCAGTAAATCAGGTAATTTTCAATCAATTATCAAATTATAAAATGCAACCCCTGAAATTATTTAGGTGGTTCACAACAAAAAGCTTCAGCAGCCGATGGAACTGTTCATTCCTGAAGACATTGAAACCATGGAATACACTGTTTTTAATGTGACAAATACAATCCTAGAAATATTTCAATGCTTGCAGGTGATTTATTAAGCTATATAGTTAAATGCGAGATAGACTGGAGGAGTTATACGAATATTTTTATTTTATAGTTCACTGTGAAAGAAAATGGGAAACCACTATATGAAAACAGCAAAAAAGCAAGCTACGACGTCAGTGCTCGTCAAAACACATGGTCGAATCAAAGAAGGAAGCGAAGGGAGCAGAAGTTTTCTGATAATGCAAATGCAGAACCGGCATGCAAGAAGCTGAAACTCGAAATTGTAGAGCCTGAGCCATCAACTTCCTCACTGGAGATGCTGCAGTTCAAATTTCTTGTTGGAATAGCCGACAAGAAAATTTTCATTAAACTGACTTGGTGCGATGGCTGCTTAGGAAGAGATTCTCTTCATCAAATTTTGCAATACATCAAGAATGCATTGCACATCAAATAATTTATACTTTTCATTGTTTAATGCAAACAAAACAAAAATAAATTTGCAAGTTTATATTACAATAAAAATTTGATAAGTTTAGTGGTAAATTTTCACATTAAAACAAGAATGTATCTAAATTTTTTTATTGAGAAAAAATACAATCAACCAACAAAAACTCAACTGAGCACCTTCAACTTTGACCGGAGCACTTACACTGATGATGACAATAGCATTTCAAACAAGAGTACAGAAATCTTTGATTAGCAATATGGAAAAAAATGGCAACAAAATGAAAATACGACTGACTAGTTTCTTGTCGACAAAAATGGCACTAACCTTGGCTTTGGATTTTATCGTGTTAATGTGTTATAAGTTAAATTAATGGCCACATATTGCTTTTTCCCAGAACGTAATGTGAAATATTAATCGAGCGTGTAGACTGATCGGTTTCAACACTGAAACCAACAATTCAATCTAATCAACTATTTTAACGTCTCATTAGTAAAGACTAGTTCTCATTGCTTCAATATTACCACTGTTTTTTTCAAGCTTATTTTGTTCAATCGATGCATAATTATTGATAATTTCGATTTGACAGTTTTTTTGGGAATATAGGCCTTTAAAATATTACAAAATCTTTTATTACGCTAGTGAAAGGTTTTCAACGCGCATTAAATTCATACACAACACGACAAATACAACAATGGTTTTTAATAAATGTGTGCTTAAATGGGTCGCTAGAGACAAGGCGTAATTTCGTCTGCTTTTTTAAGTAGAGTTTTGAGTGTAAATATTTTTTTCATGTTCAGTGAAAATTTCTCAATTGGAATGTAGTAATTAACTGCTAAACTCTCGGATTACATTCAAAAAATACTTTATCTGTGTGTGCAAGTCTTGTTGAGGAAAAGGAATTACTAATAAGACGCCACTACAAAAATATCTATGATCATACTACTATAGGGGTAGCAACAGACGAAATATAGCAATGTCTCAGGCAGTGGCCCTTAATGAGTCCATCTCCCGCATCTCAGTTTGCATTATGATAGAATAGCTTCAGTGCCCTAGTTCAAATGCTAATTACTTTCCTAATTATTGCCAATAGTCATGACAAATATCTTGTGCTCCTACTGCTCTTAGTTAGATTTTTCAGACACCTCGAGTCAACCCTAATTTTGCGTTGTAATTTTTGAACTGGCCGAACAATATAATCAAGTAACATTTTGATGTAGGATTGTTGGCCATTGGTATGCTTTAGCGGGTATTGCTACCAAACTACACTTAGAGGTCACTTTCAGTAGAGCAGTTTCTCTCTAAGACTGTGACCACTAACAAGTTCTAATAATTAATATCTAAAATACAAGTTGCCATCTAATATCACCTAATACACAATTCTACCGATTATTATTTGGGGCTGAAAAAAATGCTTAGCCACGTAAGACAGTGAATTTTCAAATACCATCACATCCGGCTGAAAAAACCAAGGCTGACTTTTTACGACACTTTTTAGCTCACTGGGGAAAAATGGCTTAACACTTCCTTTTAAGTCACTTTGACATTCTGGGCAATTTTTTAGAGAATTGAACAAAATATGGAGGGTGGAAGCTTCTTAAATATGAAATAACGCTGAGTTGTGAATAAAGCCCTTCGGTAACTGACTAAAAAAAGCAGTCACTTGCAGTGACAAGGATGAAAAATTGCCCACGGAATTAATGCTCTTTGGGCATAGGCAGTTACAGCCACATGCTGATTTTCAACGATATATAAATTTTTTTGATAAATGTACGAAAAAGTGAACATATCAGTTAGCGTGTGCCTCTTTTACACAGCATTACATTATTAACATGAAATATTTTCATAATTCTCTTTACGAAAGAGTCAGCCCGTCAACAGCAATCAATATCCTCTATTATTGGCTTAGGCACAAAATTAATGCTTCATCATATTAACCAGTCCTTCAGTTACTATCTGCAGTTTTGTTATAAATGGGCTAAATTTAATTTGCAACCATTTTTCATTTAGTCCTTGCAAACAGAAAAAAATTGCTACTCACATGAGTAAATATCCACTACCGGTGCCAAACTATTAATGTACTATCAAAGAGTCAGTTCAACCTGTGTGCACTCATTAATGATGTGCTCAGCTCGACTCAATGGGCGTCATGGACAACGGCGATATAGGTAACGTGGAGCCTTCTTCGAGTTCCTTCACTACCACATTACCGACCTTGCTTAGCCCATCAATCTTACCATCAGGGGACGACTCTTTCAACTGTCGCTTTTCAACCTCAGCTTTGAAGTTTTCAATGTCTTGTTGACTGCAATTTCCAGCAAGCAAAAATAAAATATATGTGATAAAACGTTTTTATGAATGACTTGCCTTATTTGAACAAAAAGAATGCCATTGATGACATTCAGCATGTCCAGCACACTGCCCATTGAAGGTGGCTGGATCTGAATTGGTGGTAAAGTAGCGCCAGATTTTCCAGTGCAAATGTCGTTCATCTTTTTTTGAAGAACAACAGCCTGCTGTGTGAGATGGCGCAGACACTCGGAAGATTCTCGAGTCTTTTCATGCTCGTCTCCCAACTGGAAGTAAAAGGTTAGGAAATTTGCATATTTAATTAGTCGCAAGTCTTCACCAAGTGTTTGTAAATAGCATAGGTCTCCTTTTCATTGTGTAGAGCTGTCCTAAAGTCACCCATGCAACTTTGGGTTCGAGCAACCAAGTGGTATGTTACTGCAACTTTGAGAGAACGTGGTCCGTTGTACTTTATATTCAACTCGAGAGCCTTCTCGAGGAACCGAAGTGAAAGCTCGTACTCTCCGAGAGCGTGGAGAATCAGGCTGATGTTGCTCTAAAAGTACATCAAATAAAATTACTGTAAAACAGTAAGAAGAGCTGAACTTACGTCAAGGAGAGCCATTTCAGGGTGGTTTTCTCCACACACTAGAAGAGTTAAGTACCTAGCTCTGTATAGAAGCTTCAGGGAGATGCTCACTTGTGAATTTGCAAAGCAGTATAAAGCAAGGTGGACCTGGAAGTTGGAATTATAATAAATTTAGAGCGTATTTGCTTTCTGTTATAGATATTTACATATTCTGTTATAGTATAAGGATGATCAATGCCGTTCACTCTCTCGGACATGAGAACAGCCTTCTGCTGGTAGCTCATAGCTTCAGCATGATCTCCCATGATGTAGTTGAGTCGAGCCAACATTCTCAAACATTGAGCGATTTCAGGATGCATTGCCCCATACACATTGTTGAGAAGGTTTAAGGCCTCACTAATGAGCTCATACCCCTCCTTGAGGTAACCCTGCTGAATCTTAGTTTGGCCAGTAGTGTAGAAATTGTATGCATCACTAGCCTGCAGATTTTTTTTCAATCAGAATAACAATTTTCATTTTTAATGATCAAATAACATACCCTTGGATTGATGTGCTTTACAACTGGGAAGACATTGACTATGTCCTCCTCATAGAAAGTCAGTCTATTTTTAGTGTCAAACGAATATTCTCGGAGAAGGATCTGAATACCAGCTTTCATGCAGAACGATCTATAAAAAATTAGAATATGATAAAAATTGAACTTATCATTTATAGTAAATTTAATTACCTTAGCAGAGACACTTTCTGCAAAGTAAACTGTTCAGTTGCATGCTCTAAAGTCTCACAGGGCATTTCCCAGTCATAGTACATTTTTATCTCAGACTTCAGTTGGTTCCAGAGAGATTTTGGGGTCATCGTAGTCCACTCGAGACTATCTGGACTGGACAAAGGATTCATCTTTCCCTTTCGCTTGTTCCTCTTTTTAGCGTTTTTGCTTTGCAACTAATTTTTTATTTGTAATAATCTAGAGTAATGGTTGAGTATAAAAATTATCTACCTCCTCCAGTCCTTGTGGTGTATGGGACAACTGGCTGGCTGAGAGGAAACAATTGAGGAAGTGACTGATGGCTGCCGACAAGCTCATGAGTTCAACACTTTGCATGTATGTGGTAAAAATGTGCTTCGCAGATCGGCAAATGAGTTCAGACACGGCAATTGAGTGGACGTATTCGAGCTGCCAAACCTTAGACAACATATCTGCAATTTTACCCAGGTACCTAATATTGATGCCCCTGTTGTGCATGGCTTCTGAGAGGGTGATGCCATCCATAGGGGCTGATGTGTGATCCAGACAATCTCGAATCTTAATGGGATAAGGAATAAATAATTCCTCCTGAATAAAACTTATGTAAAATTTACTTACAAAGTTAGGAATTTGTGTGGTAAGCAGGAAATCAGCAGCATCTTTGACCAACTGCCTCTCCTTTTTCAGGTTTTCTCCATCTGGGCAAGTATGCCTCACGCCAGGAGAATACACATCAGGGTTGAACCTGACATCGAACTCAGTCTCCTTCAGGGAGCCCACTGCTACTGCGGCTTTTTTCACCACTTCCCTTGTACTTTCTTCCACTGAAAATAGCAATGTAAAAATAATAATAATTGAGCTGCAGTTATACTTTCAAGTTTCTCTCCACTTGTAATGGAGTCTGTTATGCTTTCAACAATTTTCTTTGCCTCCTCCGTTTCCATTTCTTTCTCAGTTGAGCCTTTTTCTTCACCATCCTTATCTTCTTTGGCATCTCCGTTTGTGATGATCTTGCCCTCAGTAAGTTTTAAAATTTCCTTTTCTTGACTACTTCTACTTTCGCGTTCTTTCTGTTTCTTGGCTCCAAGTTGTTGCAAATGGAAAGCAGCAAACTTGATAAACATCATGTATCGGTTCTCAACAAATGCATCAATAAGCTCCTGTCGCAGACAACTCAGTTTATGACGATGCTCAAGTGGGAAGCCCAGCGCTCTGACCTCTTTGCTCAACTCCTCTCCTTCCACTGTTAAAAATTGCAGAGTTACATGAAATTTTATGAATAAAAAAATATAATTACATTTAAGGAAATTCACATCAGGCGGGAAGGTCCTCAGTAAGTCAAGGATGTAGTGGCGTCCATCATTGCCGATTATTCCTTTGCACTCCACTGATGAACACAGTTCAATCTCTTCATCCTTTTCATTTATCACATAGTGTGGTAAAATCTTCAGTTGCTGGCCTGCTTTGTTCAGCTACAATATTTACAAGTTAATCCACACATTTAAAGTTTTAGATAAAAATTGTACCAGATCTAAGTATTTGGTGTGAGTGAGCACAGTTTTTCCAAAGTCAATTGAGCCATAAACGACCGATTGCTCTTGTTCTCTTTCCAGAATGCCTGGTATGATTGACTGAGCAGTCACTCTGTAGCCTCTATAGTCTATCACAACAGTTCCCAAAGTATAAAGACCAGGTTGGTCAACTGCAGAATACACTCGGACTCCTTGCAAATCATTTTTCTGGGAAATGACAAATTTGTTAGTAATAATTGCATTTTTTTTACACAGTAACTTACGGGAGCGACAAAAGCAGCTGCATCACCTCCTAATTCTTTGTAGTGGTCCCTAACGTCAAATCCAAGTGAGAAGAAGATATTGTTCCAAATATACATTTGCATTTTGGCCTCTTCACCAGGGTTGATGGCCATCACGTTGCCATCAATTACAGCCATGGCGCCCCGAGTCGCTGCAGCCACAAAATCACTGTGAACCTTGAAAATGGCACGCTCACGAAGGAGTCTTTCAGGAAGGTTTTTGCGAGGTAACTCTCTGGTGGTCTGCAGCTCTTCATTCCAGTCTCTGGTTTGTCCAGGAATGTGCTCCTCGTAACCCAACTTTGAAGAAAAAGCTTAAGACAAAAATTATTTTAAGTAAAGATTTATTTTACATTAGTTATCTCTTACTGTCTTCAGCCCTGATGGCATCAATGGTGTGATCAATGTTGGGAGCACACCATGCATAAATCTGGTAGGGAGTCGCCACCCTTTCAAATGGGTGCCTCGAGGTTCTCTTCTTTTGAAGAATGGAAAAGTTCTTTTTGAAGGCAGGGCTTATCTGACTGAGCAACTCAATAAGTGAATGGCACAAATGACTTGGGGTGGCTGGCTTTGGGTTGAACTCCTCCTCGGCCGACTGATTGACAAAGAAACCACGAGTGCACGCAGTGATGTGGTAATGTTTGTCCTCAAGAGTGACCACATACAAGTACATCAGGTCACCGTGCATCTTGCGATAACCTGGTGGTGGATTCCAACCAGACGTCGTTAAGACCTTTACAATTTGATATTTATACTCATAATTCATACATGCCATTGAAATCAAACCTTCATGCACTGTGGCCCTTTGTAATCCTTGGCCTGGGGCTGCAGAGGCAAAATGAGACGCTCTTTGCACCTTGGCATGATATAATCTGGAGGGGTGCAATCAACACTCTCTGGACGAAGCTTCCTTTTATCTAATTAAAATTAAATATGAATTTGCTTTTGTCAAACATCTATTGCAAAAAAAACCTCTGATATGTGCAGAACGGGGGGTTTCAGTTATGTCACCTTGAGTAACCATATTCAGGAATGAGAGCGAGCTGCAATCAACTCCATGGTAAGCATCAGCAGGGTCTAGACTTTTCAGCAAGTCCCTTACATGTCTGACATGTATCCTTGCCTCTCTCATTGTGTAAAGCTCCTCCACAACCTTTAAATTATTTTTTTTTACTGGAAATTTCAGAAAACGGTGAAATTTCATACTTTGATCACAGAGCCCTCTTTGAGTCCCTCAATATTTTTGAGTTCGGCAAAATTGTCTAAAGTGACATTGTCCAGCTGGAGGGAGAAACAGGTACGGTGACAAGTGTCCTCTCTATCCATGAGTAACTGATGGATCTCTTGGACCAACTCCATGCTGGAGACCTATTGAATATAATTAAAACAAAAAGTTATTGCAGTAGATTTGACATAAAATATGGTTGCTCTCTGTCAGATTCAAATTCGTGAATGCAATTAAGTTCATGCAGAACTTTCATTGAATTAATTTCATTTCGTCATTAATTATACAAAATCTAGTAACTTTATTTTTTAAACATTCAATTAAATTAACAACTTTTTTAAAATGAGGAATTAGATTATGATTAAGATTTGTTCTTACCTGAATATCAAAGGCTTCTGTTCCAGGAGATACAATCTTGACGGTGAAACCCATGTCTTGAATAAAGACGACCTCCTGCTCATCCTTCTCGGAGGCAGTTCCGTTGGTTTTCTTGTCTCCGTCCTTCAGACTCTCATCTTCGCTCTTCTCGCGCTCTTCTTGCTTGACCTCCGCGTGGCCATTTTCGGTCACCTCATGCTGGAGGCCATTCATCTTCTTGTTGTCTGGAGACAGAAGAAGAGTAACTTTAGAGCAGTGCATCACACTGGCGCGTCTGCCTCCGCGCATTGGGAGGCACGTCGAGTAAACAGTATGGGAGTGGGTCACAAAAAGGGCTGCCCTTTTGTTAAGAAAGATAGGCGCGCTTGCCGCGCTTGAAAATAAAAACAGACAAGAAAGCGGGCAGCACCAAATGATGACTGATAATGAGGGAAAAGGAAGGCGCACCATCTGCGCATAGTAATGTGCCGAGTTTGTGTTATGACGATTTAAATTTTTAATCTGCAGTCGTGACCCCTCCAGAGTCAATCGGCCAAGTAATGGAGCATCCTGTCAATGCAGTTTTACGTCAGCAATGTTCAATTGGTCCACTGTCAATGTCATAATAAGAAAGCATTGCTGTGCCCATTTGATTGATTTGATTGGTTAATTAAGAGTGGGTTTTTATCTTTTCACTTCTACCCTGTTTATTGTTTTCTATTAACACATATATCCATATCACTTTGAGAAGCGTAATAAAAACTTGAGGGGGCCACGCATGTTTCAGGAGAAGCACGCTGATCTGTTATCAAGTTTGGAAGAATAAATATTGGAATGAGCGAGAGAAGATAAGGGTGTCCCTGGTGCAGAGAGCTAAAGAAGACGCGGCGATAATGAGGAGCAGCGCCGCGAAGGGAATTTGTACCGACCCGCCGAGAGCAATGCATACGATTCTTGCTTGCACGAGGACGGTTGAACCTGCATGTCGTTAATGAATGCTAATCAAGCCTAATAATAGCGTATCTATACAGCGGCTGCTTTCTTGGTTGTCGCAACAACTGTGGAGCGCAAAACGGATGGCTGGTAGACTGTGACAAAAATTGAACTTTTCTGAGGCAAAAGAAGTGTGAAAATTTTCACGTGACCGGGTATAGATGCATCATGAATTACAGGCGTCAGATTTTCGCAGCTTTGTATTAAATTTCGCATGTCAAGCAGCTGTTTTAAAGATGAAAGCAGCACTTTGTTATAATTAGACTGCACGTTTTATACGTCGTCTCCTTAAATTTGTGTTCTTCTGAAAATCTTTAATGTAGAAAATGACAAACTGCTCTGTGGTTATGAAAATTGCATTCAAGGTTAGGTTGCTCGTAGACCGACTCGCCCCACGGTTCAAAATAAAAACGAAACAGACCAAATTAAAACACAGCAGCGACAGTGCCGTCTGCCACGTGACTTGCTGTCTGTATTGCGTATTGAGCATTATCAATAAGGCAGTTTATTCATGATTGACGAGTGCATTGGAACGCTCAAATGAATTATTCATTCAGAGTAGAAGAAACGCCGGTAAAATTTAATTCGTGAACTTTTGCTTGGTAACATACCGGCAAGAGGCTCATTGTTCTGAGGAATGAGCTAGATTTTTTTCATTGTCAGAAACCTGTTTTTTCACTTTCTAGTGTAAATTGAAAAAGAAATTAAATGCATCAACTTGCAAATAACTGGTTATCGGCGATATCTCTATACAATTTTTTAGATGCTCGACAGATTGAAGAACATTTATGCTAAAAATTAATCTTTCATATTGAAATTTATTACGCCGAAAATTGAAAGCATAAAAAACTAATAAATTGATATTATCAAAAATAAATATTTCAAAGTTCTGGATTAAAATGATTTAAAAAAAAAATGTTAGTTACATAATGACTGTGTTGAAATTGAATTTTGTTATTTCAGTGAAGCTGCGGTCGCGCCTCAAGCCTCAAGAATGCAATGTACGAAAATGTCGAGGTGCATCAGGTCAGTCGACGAGAGTCTTTCAGGCAGCATTAAAACGGTTGGCGCAGACGCCGCCTTTCCGACTAAGAGCAAACTGCCTCTTCTTGGCAGGTGGGGTGCACCGCACTATTCTTGGCGGGGCTAAAATTAGCCCCGAAAAACCAAGAGGCAGCCACAAAGAGCCAACTCGCGCACATGTGACTCCATTCTTCCTTCACGAAAGTGAATAAATCTCGCACACCTCAACTTGTTCTTTGGCAAGAAGTCGCGAAAAAGTGCTCTAATTTGTAAACAGCCACCGTAGAAATTCACTAGAAAAAAAACAGCTGTAAAAAAGCTGGGCGTGCGAAGAACAGATTGACCGAGGATCTGAATTGCGCAAACTGTTCATTCCGATTCTTTCTCAAATCAAGATGAATGAGATAAGGGAAGGGCACTTCTGTTTTTGTTGATTCAATTTGCAGTGATTGTTGTTGGACAAACAACTCTTTGGACCAGTGCAATTGTTTGATTTAGATTACCAAAAAACACTCCGAGATAAAATTATTAAATACAACAGAATATTTCCCTAAAAAAATATTAAAATCAACAGAAAAAAGTAAATGATGATGAGCTTAAAACTTTTTAATTTGGTTTTTTTTTCAATGATAAAATAGTGTATCTGTACCCATATATCTTGACGAAAAATTTCCTCTGTAAGCTAATCGTATTTGCAGCGGTTAAAATTTTTGCACAAAGAGAGAGGACTCGCTCGTCTACCGCCCTCCACAAGAGACCAGACTACGCTCACATGGCCGAGCTCAAAATCGATAGCGCGCCTGCTTGAAGGGAGAGCAGCTTCGTCTCCGACGCCGTGTGTTGAAAATCAAGCGTGGATTGCATCATCATTTTTATGGTGGAGAAAATATTTTAATTCACGGCAAATTTGCACCCAGTCCAATGGATGCAATTCGAATCGCTTCGCAAAACCGACCTAGCGCACTTTGAACGCCCTTGTCAAGCTTGGCGAAAATCAATATTGAATTTTAGCAGTGCGGAGGTCGGGGTGAATTCACCAGCAGCCCTTGGGCTGTGTCACGCCGTGCTATAAAACCCGTCGCCGGTTCGATTATCAAAGTGGGCCAACGGCTTAATTTCTGATCGGTGCGCTCATTACTGAAATGGTAAAAATGCTTATCAGCAAACGATTGTAAAATTTGCACCATTCAATAAATTATTTATAGCAATTTTTGTACTGTATACAAATAATTGGGAAAAAGTAAATTTTCTCATAAAAAAGAAAAAAAAACACACTTTAAATTTACTTCAAAAGAGGGATATTTTCAGATTACTCGTGAATGAAAAGCTATTTGGCACAAGGCGCGTGTAGACCAGGCTTAAACAAGGCGTCGAGAGTGTTTGAGAAAAAATAATTTTGTAAGCATTTTAGTGCAAGCAAACATATTTATCAAACTCTAGCGCTATTATTAGAAAAAATGGTCACAAAATTGCCTGCATTGAATCTCATAGAAATAAAAGTAAAAAATAATAAACTTTTATATTAAAATTATACAAACTAAATTGAATTATTAGTCAGAAACTCCACAATTCAAGTAATTTTGTACCTTTTGGTACCTTTAAAGTATTATTGGTATCAAAGGATTATGTTATAGCACTACGGCTACATTTTAAGCAAAAAAAATATTGTGAAATATTTTGTTGAATTTAAGATCCAGCTAAAGTGATGTGGCAAGGAAAAATCTCTAATCATCAAGTAAAAATCACATCTGTGCGATAATTTCATGACAAAGCAGTTTTCCCGAATAAAAAACCATCCAGACAGATGTGAGAATAAAAATGCATCAGTGAAAAAAATTAACAGCAATGGAAAACTGTTTGGTGGGTTAATTTTAAGTTATTGTAGTTGTGATGTGTCGCACACCACACGCAGAGAGATGAAAATCCTACATTTTTTTTTTGGTCTCATACGTTCATCGCTTTGATTGACGGGTCGCGAATGAGTTTGTCTCGCTTTCTGTCTCTCCGGTTACTTGGCTACGCATTCGCCGAAGCAGCACATGACCGCCTGTACTATGCAAAACAAACATGGTGAAATGTCTCGGTTGCGCGCCTCGTGATCTGCAAGGCGAAAAAAGGGAAACAGAGAGGCTACCAATGAAGTGGAAACAAACGGAATTTCTCGCAGGCGACTTGAGCAGTCAATCAGGAGAATAATGAGAGTAGGGAGATCTAATTATAGCTGCGTGCACAGTGCACCGCTTTGTATAATAACAAGAAACAATTCAACGACAAAAATACTGAAGCTGCATCAAAACGTTTCGTCGCTTTACTTATTGTTGGAAACAGCAAACATTTCTCAAGCAATACGAAATGGCTGTGTATACTTATAATTACTATATTTACTTCTTTAATTTTCTTTTCATCCAAACTCTTTATTTAAATATAGTGCTTTACAAAAAATAACTCCAATATTTTTTTAGTGAAAATATTTATAGTAATTGAAAACAATTGAGTGAAATTATTAGTCATAAAATATAATTATTAAAAATTGGAGGTAAATTTTTATTAATCTAACTTTGTTTGGTTTTAATTCAATTCCAAGTGGAATTAACAATTTCATACTAAGCTCTACTTAAGAATTTAAAAAGAAATCTCATTATGAGCTTCCAACCACATAAAACACTTTTATGGTAAAACTCAGGGAAAAAACAAACGAACCGTCACTCGATCCTTAATGAAGCACCCGAGAGGAACCGCACGTGTAGGAAAGTCCACATATGGCCGCAAAACCAAATAAATTATTCAAAAACAACAAACAGCACTGAAACGTGGGGAGAAACGTTATCAATTATAGATCTGGTTCGATTGTCACGGTAAATTTATGCATTTTGGAAGAAAAAAAAGGCGTCCCTTCCTATTTGAAAATAGGGTGCATACGTAATGCGGAAATTAGCCAGCGCACATAAATATTGGCGTGCGGCATCAATGGAAGCAGCAAAGTTGTGGACGATTTTACGAGAGTGCTCTTAGCGCGCAGATCAATATATTCCTCCACCGACCGGCTGACTACGGCGTGCAAGGAACACAATTCTGAAAATGCGCCGGCTGCTTCACGCAAGGTGACTTTTCTCGTCAAAAGCTGGCCCCGCAGGAAAGAAAAAAATGTACCTGCGTACCTTTGGGACGGTCAGCGGGCTAACAGAGATTCTCCCTTTTTTTTACGTCGCCTCAGTGATAATTGAATGAAGTGCCGCCGGCGACCCTCATCTTTGAAAAATGGGCTATTGCAATAGGGGTTGAGGAATATCCATGGATGCACAGCTGCCCATGTGGAGACGGACAAATATGAAATTTATCAATATTTTCAAAGTAGAAGAAAAATTTAAAAAAAATCTTTTCTACAAATAATAGTTTCAAACTGTTGTTGTTTTTTTTTTTCATGTTCAGTTTAAGGAATTCTATTTTATGAAAATTACTGTATGAGCATGTCTAGTGCTTTCTTTCAGGTGGACGAGGTTTTGAATTGGCTTTTGCAGGTGTTGAAAAATTTAGTGTCGTTTTCACCACTTCCTCCTCCGGCTTTAATTGCATTACTTTGTCACCAACAGAGGCCAAAGGAAATAATGTTTACCAGCAGGGGAGTTTTGATAAGACTAAATAACCGCAAAATACGAGCCCCTTGCTAAAATTCAAGTTAAAGTTTCCAAACGAGAAACAATTTTTCTGATATAAGAATCAGGTGAACTCGGTATTGGTAAATTCTTCGAAAGTCTCTCGCGACCTAGCTCGAGCGCACTCCTCTAATTAGCACCGCTGCCATGGTAGTATGCACGCGATTTATTTTTCAAACCGAGAGTCTGGCTACAAAACCACACCACAGTCCTCGATCACCAGTTCTGCAAACACATAAATAAGTTTGACCTTTGCTCAGTAAGTGCCGGACCATTAGAAGAAATTACACTTATGTATGAAAACTTGATCCCTGCCTGCACTTGCGCATGATGCAATATACGCAAAGGCAATTATTCTTGAAACGATTATGTAATGGATTTTAAAGTAATTAAAAAGATCTCGACGAACAGCCAACACGGAAATGTAAAAATAATCTGAGCTGGTCCAACGACTAATTTTTTCATCTTCAAGGTTATGCAGATATTTATGACGTCAAAAAAATCATCTCGCTCCTGCTCCTCATGGCACTATTCGGGCTGCAATTTATTAGGAACTAGTTGCGTAACCACTCAGATAATCGCAGAAATAAAGCACTAAATTTTCACCCCAATCCGGGTGGGTCAAAGGGGTGGCCACCCCTTCTGAAAACCTGTCTTAGCAAACGGGCACAATGAACGCAAAATTCGGAAGTGAAAATAATTTTTTTTGAATATTTAATTTCAAGAGGTGAAGGTTTGGGGGTGGTAAAGGGCAAATGACCTTGCACAAGGGTCTTTCGGAAGATATACTCACCGACCGCATGGTGCTTGCCGTTCGCGTCGGCCGCCGAACCCGTTGAGCCAGAGTCGGCATTCTTCGGCGTTGGCGGAGGTTTGTCACTGGAGGTGCTCCCTTCGACTTGAGTACCAGGAGCCATAACCCTTTGAACCCAGAGCAAACAAGAGAATCAATCGGCGAGCCTGAAGAAAACCACGGTGCCTTGGTATTTTCGGTCACTTCTCTGATGCCACTGCTGCCAACCGAATTGCGCAACGTTCACGTGAAGAATTCTCGCGACGTGAATTTTCGGGCAATATTTTTGCCTCTCCACGCCATTCAATTCTAATTCAACGAAAGCGTTTGACCTTTGAACTCTGGAAGCGTCTAAACCGCCCTTTGGACTTTGAGTGAGCACCAAAGACAAGGTTGCCAACCTGACTTAATCGAAGGGTACCAAACAGTTTACGAAAATTCCGCCTGGCAGCACGTGCTGGAATATTAAACGACCTACAGAGAGCGGTGTGTCTGCATTATTGCCATTTGATTGGCCAAACAGCCGAACCACGTGACCTTCAGCTGTAGGTAATCTGGAGTCTTTGGAAGATGCCGCGAGGAGACGCGTGCAGCCGGTCAACAGCCGGCTCACATAATGATCTCATGAAATGCCTATTTATCAACTAGCAAATTTGACATTGAAAATAAAGGGAGAAGAGTAATTCTAGCGTTAAAAGTATTGTTAAAAGAATAATGCTAACTAAGGCTGCATGGTTGCGCCGTGCTTGTGGTAAAGCATTTCCTCGTTTTCAAGTTTCTAAATTTATCTTAATATAAAAAAATAATGAAAAGAGAAAACTCAATTTTAAAATTTAATAGTAATAATGTGATTATTTTTTTTCACTGATGGATCAAATTTTTTTCGATGACTTACTTAGATATATTTAAAAAAAAAAAAATCTTTAAAAATGCTATTTTTTTTCCACCAAACTTAGCCAATATTTGTAGAAACGTAAAATAATTATAATGTTTTTTTAAATAATTAAATGCCATAGTTCAGGTTAATTTAATTATAGCAATTTAAAATTATTGTTGTAATATAAAATAAAACGCATGTTTTTTATACCAAGTAAGTAAATTAACTTTATAGTGTAAAACGACCTTGACCTAGCATTTTACTGCATACGCACCATATGGGCACGACGCACAACTGATTTAAAGATTTAAAGATGAGCTGTGTTTTTCAATGAATTGTTGACCAATCGTTTTTTTACATTGTGAAAAATGCAAAGAACAACCGGTTATAGTAATTCACAATTGCAAGGAAACTGCACGAGCGTGACCTTGTGCATATTAATTCTACCCACACAAGCAAAGCACCAACCGGAATTGCACTAATACAATTTAAAATTAAAATAGGAATTTATAATTCAAACGCTTGTTTTTCCCTATCGCAGCAGGTGTGAAACTTATCATGCGGAGGTGTATTCACACGCGCGGCTATGGTGCAGGTATTAAAAACTTGCCGCAATTGCAAAACGGAATGTACTGCAGAATATATAAAAGACACAAAGGTGTCGATGGAATCCAGGCAGTGCAGCGCAAAATGTGCCGACCTACTAGGTTTGCTATTAAAGGAAAAGGTACATGAATATTGATTTACTTAAATATTAAAATATAAAATTTGTGAATGCTGCGATTTGCACGATTAATTAAAATTAAAGACCCATTTAACACCATTCACTTTATCGGCTGATAGCGTCCACAATATGTTCCCTAAAGTAACTTATCTTTAAATATATTATAAACATTCAATACTTACATGAATTACATAGCATTACTCTTTGCACAATGACTAGTGAGAATTTAATTAATGATTAAATAAAAAATTATTTAAATGTAAGATTCATGATTTAAAAAACGAACAAAACATCTCTGCGTAGTAAAGGTAGTTATGTAAATTTAGGCGAACACTAAAAATTAGGGATGGGAAAAATAATCGATTTTAAAATTAAAATAATCGATTATTTATGCGACTTTTTATCCCAAAATAATCGACAAATAATCACTTTTAATCTATTTTAATCGCTAGTGAAAATTAAATAAATATTAATTGTGAGGGGTTTAAAAAAAACTTGTCAAAAAATGTAGCTCAAAATGATCAGAATGATCCATCCGAGATTTTTAGATGGTCACCAGAAACACTTTTTTCAGGTCGGGACTTGCCCCTAAGGGTGTCTGGGGTGCAGGGATGAGGGTGAAAAAAATTTCTTATTAAAAAGGTGGCTCAAAATGATCAGAATGATCCATCCGAGATTTTTTGATGGTCACCAGAAAAACTTTTTTCAGGTCAGGACTCAGGACTCGGGTCAGGACTTCCGTCACAAGGGTGGGCCAGGGTTCTAGGGGCGAGGGTGCAAAAAAAAAAAACTTGACAAAAAAGGTAGCTCAAAATGTTCAAAATGATCCATCCGAAATTTTTAGATGGTCACCAGAATCCATCGTTTTTTTTTTCTTTCGGGACCAGATCTAGGGTGGCAACGGTTTCAGGGGTGAGGGGTTGAAAAAAAATGTGTCAAAAAAGGTATCTCAAAATGATCAGAATGGTCCATCCAAGATTTTTAGATAGTCGCCAGAAATCATTTTTTTTTTTTTATTTTGTATTATTTTTTAATTTTGTATTATTTTTTAATTGAAAAAACCCTTTTTTTAATGAAATAATCAGAAAAAATCTATTTTTCCTGGAATAATCGGTTTTAAGCAAAATAATCGATTATAAAATTGGTTCATTCGACTCTAAATGTCATGATTCGCAAAGAAAAAATGTTTTCGGAGCCAAAAAGCAGTTCCTACTGAAAATCATTTTGATTATAATTCCCATCCCTACTAAAAATAAACCTTTTTAATTACTATTTGTTATCTAGGGGTGAGGGGTTAAAAATCATTGCCTGTGCATGGCCACGGCATGCGTGGGTCAAGGGGTGAGGGGGTGAGGGGGTAAAAATCACTGTTCGCCAAAACTAGCTAGAAATTCTCAATTTGATCTGTTTGAGATTTGTAGATGGTTGGAAACCATGATTTTTTTTATAAAATAAAAATTGCACAAATTTTAATATTTTCTCCAAAAAAAGTTGGAAGAATGTTGAAAAAAAAGTCAACTTTTCCGCTTATTAGTCGGTTTTCCATCAAATGGTTGAAATAGTCGATTTCAAAATTGAATTTTAACCTACGATTTAAACTTTTTACATCTGAAAACGCGCATAAAACACTTAAAGTCGCATTTTAGAGAATAAGTTGGTTAGTAGCTTTGCCCATCCCTTAATAATGAATGTACGGCAGTTACAAAGCTAATATTATTTAAATATTGATGAGAAGATGTAATTTTTTAAACTGCTTTTCTGTTATAGTCTCATTTTATAATTACAAAAAGTATAAAAAATTTTATTTCTAAAAATTTGACATGCATAATATAAATGCTCAATCACAAAAAAGAATTTAAAAAAATAAACTAAATAAATGCCACCTCAGGCCGTAATGTGATCGGCAGCTTGCCGCGGGTCTTGCGCAGCAACGTTCCCTGCGCTGCAGTCTCCTAGCTTGGTTCGCCGGCGAGAGTCAACTTGCTTCACTTGTTCGCCGTCGTTGCAGTGGAACAGGTGACTCCTCTCCGGCTGGCCGAGTCTTCACGCGCACATGCCGATCCACGCTGAATCTGCCCATGACCCTATGATGACCATGAAACTGTTGCTCTTCGCGCTGCTGGCGGGGGCGACGCTGGAGGCCGCGGGGGCCGTCCGCTGCGTGTGCAGCAGCCCTGGCGAGTGCGAGCCCCTGACGGACGACGACTGCCCTCAGGGTGCGTCACTCGTGTGGGACCCCTGCGGATGCTGCAGGGTGTGCGCCCGACTCGAGTTCGAGCCCTGCGGCGGTCCTGACGGCTTCCACGGCACCTGTGCCCAAGGGCTCGAGTGCGTTGCTGACCACGCTGATCTTCTTGGCACTTGCAGGAGTGAGTACACAACCTTCTCGTTATTTAATTTGCAGTTAACTTGCTAATTTAATTTGCACGCACCAATATTAATTACTCATTATATAATGCTCCTAAAAAAATGTATAGTAATTTGAGAGAATTTCTGAATATCTCCATATTAATCACATTATATTTTTATGATTTCAATGATAATTAATAATTTTAGTTACAAAATTGTTATTTTGTTATAAATTTTGATCAATTAATTTTTTGTTAATAATCTGATTGTTTTTGTACATAATTTATCTCAGATGGAATACCTCATGTGTTTAGAAAAATTAAACGTGCAACAAACCAGTGACGTTTAATGAAAGCATGAGAAAATCAGTTCAATTAAATTATGCATTGATCGGCACAAAAATTAATTGTAACTAGACCTTTGTTCTGCAAAGTGCTGACGAGGCAGCTGAAAGGTATATTAATAGTTCAAATCAAACCACCGCTGTGCGAGTTAACTCGCCCCTCAAATTCCAATGAAATTCTGTCTGCATAACTCCTTTTTTGAGCCAACACAGGAATAAAACTTGCCGTATAGGAAAGTTCTATAAATAATAAGCTAATGAATAACATTGAATTGCTTGCAAAGATACCGCTGGAATAACAGTCAATTATATAAGTTCAATTTTGTGTATCTTATTTTAGATGATGGAAGGCACAAAAACTTCTTCATAAGAGAAATCCATAATGTGAATAATACTGACAAATGAGTTGTTAAATTTATTTTTCAGGGAAAAGGCCATTTTTCTATGATATATTTTATGTTGAAGCGTGAAAAGAGTTGTAAATTAAATAACGGGTTACATTCAGCCGAGTTTTGTAGAATTGTTATATGAATTTTTCTAATTAAATGTCAACCCAAACGAAGGACACAAAAAAAAATCAGATTTTAACTTTTTGTTTTTAAACAAAGTAATGTCAGTCTGTTGCGCAACCTCCACATTCATGTTTATTATCCTGAGTGGTCTCTCTGTGATACATATTTCTCGCGTGGAATATATCTACCTGTTGTTTCGAATATCCACAGCGTTTTCACGATATGCGTATGCTGAAAAGCCACGAAACGAGAAGGTCGCTCGCAAAAACACTCAAGTTGTTTATTATCACAAAACATTTTTCATTTGTGTAGGTAATTGCGATTTATTTGGGCAACCGGAGAGACGCGTACGTCCGGCTCTGGCAGGATGCCGAATTTTAAGTTAGCAGGAGGTCCGACCTGCAGGTCGTGCTGTCGTCGGGTCGGCTGCAGGATTAATTAAACGAGGCCGCCGACGTGCAGATAATTATAAAGCTGCGGCGGCGGTCGTCTTTGTAATCCGGAGCATCTCGTGCGACACACAGAGTCGCTCGCCTGCTGCTGCCGCCGTCGTGTATGCACAAGTCTTTAACGAGTTTTCATAATTAGGAGTCGCGAGCGCGCGAGTCAGCCTAGGCCTCTGTAATTATGCCGATTTTTTTTTCGCGTGCGCTTTTCTAAATTATCAAACTTTATTCCTTTCGTTGAGGGAAAAAGTTAAAAAAGCGAAAACAGCATTACGTTGCCCACCGAGGAAAAGCACAAAATTCGGCCCAGGTGAATGAGTGCGCCTGTCAAGGAGGAAAATTACTTTCTGTTTGCTCTTCTAAAAGCTATTATAGCGTGAAATTAATTTAAACAGACATGCCCGGCACGGAAAACTCGTCTATGTTTCGTGCTGGGCGTGTGTGCGAAATTTAGCTAAGGACGTTTCGCAAGCCATAATTATGCATAGTAATGAAATTTCCATGAGATTCAACCAAGCCTGATTCGAATCACACACACACACACAGCCTGTTATTTTAGCTAGGTAATTAGAACAACGGTTGAGGACAAATTGTAGTTAGCGAGGAGGTTGCTCAGCAGGTCGAGTCACGAATCGCCTTTTGCTCTCTGGCAAAAAGTATTTTTTTCACCGGCAATTGCCAAATTTGTCAGCGTTGAGCGCAGGCGGAGGACAAAAAATCTCATTGTCAGCGGAATCGGGTCAAAACGATGTGTAGCGTGCTCGCCCGCTAACAAAAGCCCAACATGCAGTTGACAGCGCAGCATCGAGTGCAAAAGGAAGAAAGATGTTTCTAATGGCGAGAGCTCTCCAAGTCTCTCTCCCTCGAAAAGAAGCAAAGTCCAATTTGCACCTGTCAGAGTGGAAGATTCCCTCCGCCAATACCTGGCTGCCTGCTACCCCTTTTCTGCCGCCCATTAAATTGAGTTGGAAACTTTGTTAATTTTGCATTCCGCTGCTCTCGGCCGGCACGAGGAAATACGAGCTGCTGCAAAAACTGAACTAGTGTCGCACACAAAAAACTTGAGATCATTTTTGCGTCCGAAATGAGCTTGACAAGCGTGATTGCGAATCGCAAGTTTTCTCATTAAGATTTTGAATTATCAAAAAATCAAATCCGATTCCAGGAATAGCCTATTATACCTCTTGAAGATTTTGAGTCAATAACAAAATTCATGAATTAAGGCTTCATAATGATAAGACCAGATTAGTAATTTAATGTGTTTCCTTTCTGATTGTGAGTGCCAAAAATAAAAATTACACGTCCGACGCTAAAAACAAGAATTTTTATCATGTTATTTTAGTCAATAAAAAATTTTAATCCCAGATCATTTTTAATTTTTATTTAAAAATGCTATTGTTTTAGAAAATTTATTGACGGCCTCGGATGGTCTAAAGAAACCAAGTAATCCAATTTTGTATTTTCCCAAGTGTGACCTTTTTTAGCTCCACCCCACTGCTCACACTAGTTCGTAGCACAGTTAGCGTTTTCGCATGTAAAATATTTATCCAGACGCGCACGCATATTTGATATTTGATTTTCGTATCAGCACCGCGCTTTTGCATGCGAACATGAGCAGCAACAACTCTCTTGCTCCCTCAACTTGCGACTTATTTATCTTGCACGCGGTGGTTGCATACACATTAGGAGATAAAGGAGCAAGCGAGGGTGTCTACACCAGAGATTAAGATACACAATGCCGGGCAAATCCGACCTCAAGCAGACAAACAGCTCCCGATACGTTGTGCCAAGTGAGCCTGCTTGCGGCACTCCTGCTCGGATGAATAAATATTCGCGAAGAGGGCGGCAGGCACCTTGTGCAGCGCCGCGAGATGAGCCGTATGGTGATTTATGGATTAGAACGGAAAACACGGTCGCGACGCGCATTTACTTAGACTGCTGCGGTGCCGAGATAAAGTTTAATTGTGAAAGTTCCAGTGCGTGGGCGGTAATAGCTTTGCGCATATTATGTAGAGCGGTCTTTGGGTTGAATACTGAGGACCATAAATTCACAGTAATGGGTACTTAATTAGCTTTTAATTGTAGAAGTCTAAATATTTTGGCACATGTAACTTGCAAAATGTTAAAAAATTTTAAATTAAATTCAAAAGCGAGAATTTTCAATGCTAGTAAGCTCCAATAAATCACATTTTTGCTTATTGCAATAATGCATGTATGATATTTTTAAGGCGTTATTAAATTTTGCATAGCTCAATTATTCTGACTGACCTAAAATTGTTTTAAGAGAGAGAAAATAAAATTACTTCTTAATTTTGAAAGAAAAAATATGTTTGAAAAGATTTTTTTTTATAATTATTTTGAATTGAAATATCCTCTTCACATCTACGAATTTATAATACTGTAAAATTGAGATTTTCTTATTTCATCAAGGCTTTCAATGTTCAGTTCTGTTGAGTTCTGTAATTTGATTATAAGTCCACCCACCATTGCATCCCGCATAGCCAGACGCGGCGAAACAAATATTGGAATCATTCGCAGGCTTCATTTTCCTCGCCGATGAGCATTGTTTGTTTAGCATTGAGGGTGCGATGCCGTTCAATCGCGGGATTGCGCAATCCAATCGCTACCACCACCGATTCGCCTTGAATGCAAATTTCAGTCGACGGCCGCGATTACCGAACCAAACAGAAGCAATACAAAAATTCTCCATTTCCTTCCTCGCAACACCTTACTTTTTTTATTCTTTTTGTTTTCAAATTACATCACGCCCTGCTTCACGCACCTGTCATTCCGCTGGCAAAATGATGTATGGTGACATATCTGTAAAAGCTTTTCCCGCCGGCTGTGTGCGTTGCCGAAATGTAAAATATTTATTCGTCGAGTGGAGGTGGAAAAAGACTTCTCGGTGGAAATTTTGTTTTGTACATGCAAACTGTTCTTGGCGCACCAGTCCTAGGTCGATGTAATGCGTTTTGTTCCTATACTTGTTTTTGGTTTGATAGCCGGCTCGTTCTCTCTCTCTCTCTCTTTCTATATCTCGCTACTTTTATTTCATCCTCTTTTTTTGCGCCGCCAGCTGCGCGGCTTGACTTATGCGCCAAGATGGTAAGGGTGGTGGCGGCGGTGTAGAATGCAAAAGCAGACCGGATCGCAAAAAAACTGAGTGACTCTCTACTCGCAGACTGACCTATATGCATGCAAATTGAATTATTCAGGAGAGGCGGCCGTAAAAAGAATTTCAATTTTCCGATTCTCCGGTGCTATCTTCCAATCGGCACTTCTTCTCCCGGAACCAGCAAGCCGTTTGCTCTGCACAAGAACGTACGAGATGGCTTAGCGATAACTATTTTTATTGAGTTGTTAAGATATTCAGCGGATCACACACATAAAACTTGATCGTAGGATTGTTATCCGGAAAAGATTTCCATTGTGTCCGTTTGAAAAACAATTATTTACTTCAAAACTTATTGAATGACCCTGAAAGATTCTTAGCTAAGAAGCGTGATAAGATTATTATAATATAATAATTATTTAAAGTAATTTAAAGAAAGGCGTACGTTTTTTTCAAAGATATAATTTAAAAATATTGAAAAAATATTTACAAAGATAAAAAAAAATAGAAAAATATCAGTTTAATGACATCATTATGAATGGGCACTCTAAGTTATAGTGCTTATTTTCTTGTTATGTTCACAGCTATGTAATATAAATAGAAATTA